CGATGACGATGTTTCGGAGGCTCCTTACAATAGATATTCAATTAACACAATAAAATATAAAAAAGAAAACTGTAACGCATGAATAGCGTTTGTACAAAATAATTGTGGATTTATTGCAATAGATGGATAAATTCACGTTCTATACTATTCATTATACCTGATGTTAGCTGATCTCTAGGGCCTATAGATGTCAGGACGCGCATGGTACCACCATAATGGTATTTACCATTACTTACCATTATTTTACATTACATTACATAGATTATATAACCACGGGTGCGGATTTTTCCTTCAAGCACTACTTGCAAGCTATTATAATTCCAATTAAAAATCAATTTAATCAAATAATTCACATATCTTTGTACGATAGAATTTAAAATATTTGAAAAACTAATCGTTATCTAACCACTTTAGCGACAGTCATTATTGGACATTTTAACCTAACAATTAAATATTCTTAAATCTACTTCTATGGTTTCAATTCGCGCTCATTATTTCCATTTTATTATTTCCGATGATATATTTTACGGTTTTCAGGGTCACATAAAATGATTGATTTCATTAACATAACGTCTAGTAAAAAATTTACAAAAAAAATTACGAATTTGACAGTTATTTCAAAATTAAATAGAATATTATAAAAAATATATTCAGATCTCGTATCAGGACAAAATCGTGCAAAAATATTATAAATCACATCTTACATCTATTACCGAGTTTTTTTTTTAACACGACCTCATTAGCAACGCAAGGATAGATACTTCATTCTATTCTGCACTATAAAATAAAAATGCGTTTTAATTACAGAACTATTTTAAAATTAAGGTCTATAAAAACATACAAGTAAATTAGAAAGCTTCTCCTAACACGCGACTGCCAAGCTCCTTATGAAAACCAATAAATCAAGCCGAGCATTAACATTTACCTTCTACCCAGCACGTTAAGAATGAAAATAAATCGCACCTAATGCTGAGCCAAATCACCGAGATGAAATTGAAATTGAGATTGAGCTATACAATGTCGGTGTGTAGTGATTCAACGATCCTTTACGGCGGTTACACACAGCACCGTGCCGAGGTAATATAGGGAGATTTCAGTTTATTGATCTGTGAAATTGAAAAGAAAACGACCTATGCGAAATTCAATGGCATACGTATGTAAATAAAGTAGGAAACTTTTTGTTTAGCTCGACGGTACGTACGTCACGGAAAGGTTCCAGCAACTTGTGTACTTAAGTACATAAAAGTTTTCAATTTGAGAATCCTTATTAAACTTCTTTAGTAGGTACTGTTGTGATTCGTAACTTTACGAAATGGATCTTGAAACATGACATCCACTCAATTTACTTTTGTATGGACACTGTCAAACCGGAAAATATGCCTGCTTCGTGGCATGACATTTACAATGATGGCACCTACGCGGGCAGGCTCACAACACCGCCAATATATTGAATCACACGAAGCTATTCCTTCGTAGTGGAAACCGTTCGTGTGAGGGCGTGCTAAATACTTACTTACTAAGAAAAAAATGTACTTAAATATCAAAGCTAAGCAAACTATAACTATTTACCCATTAAAACAGTGACTATGCAACATTTGCTATGGTAATTAATAGTAATTATCCACCATATTTATCACTCTTTAAGTTTTGTGCCAAGAAATCGAGTCGTCTACGTTTGATGTGAAATGGATTAGGGCGATTAGGCTCAGTGATGTGGTAATTAATGTTACCCGAGCAGCATTCGCAATAAACGCAAAAGGAAATGTTGACCTGCACTCAAGAACAAAATGGCCGTATCGTATTGTGATTTTCGAAATATTATGACGGGAAAAGAATAGGGGAGAATAAAGCCGAATATTGGTTTTTAAGTAAAATATTTAATACCCATGCAGCAAAAGCAAAATAATACTTTCCTAGCACAGATACTTATTGTTTCTTATAGTTATGCAATAATCTACTGTGGCAAACTATGGGAAATTCCTTTGCCGAAGCAATTAAGAAGTTTGACGGCATTGTTGGAAATAGTACCTACTATACTGGGAAGAGAGTTCCATATCTAGTACAAAGAAAAAGAAGGGTACTATGTGCTGTATGCATTTTTTATCAAATTTAACATTAAGTCAAGCCAGCGGCAGTGGGACGCCCTTGAACGTCTAGCCTCCGTCTCGCTCACTGACGACCCGGGCTTAATGAAGATCCGGTTCCACTGAAGAATCGAAGAGGAGGGAGTTCGTCGGCAGTGAAGTTGGAGAGGTCAGAAGCCCCCCGCCTGGCCTCTACAGAGACCGTCTTGTGGCGTCCAACCTTCTCATCTCATCTCATCTCGTTTCACTCAATTTAATTAAGTTTTATCCCAAGAGATTACTCAAAGAGCCGGCCGCCGCCATCAGCCGACCATCCAATTCGTGGCCGAAGTACTTGAGACCGGTCACCCCGGCCCCGATACGAACGCCTCCGATCACGAGGTGGGCACCCAGTAGCGGCGTGCGCCCCTGCCCGTAGAATAACAGGGCGTGGGTTTTCTTGAGCGCCACCTCGAACCCCAACCTTCGGATCGAGCCTGCACAAGCTAGACAGGCAAACTCTCGCTAGTCCCTCCCCGGGGCTGCGACCAGGTGTCGTCAGCGTAACACATTATTGCCATTCCCGTGGTGCCGGTGTTGGGGCACCGTCTTTTATCTAGTGAGCGAGGGGTGGTCATACGTGCTTCAGGGTGGAACCTCGCGCCTCCAGCATTGCGAGCCACCGCCTCAGCTCCTATCTTCAGACTTCTATAGGGTCTTCCGCTTCGGATGGAGGAGGGGCAGGGGCCGAGCTACGTTGCCGCTCGATGAGGTCGGCCACATGGTCCGCATTTCGGTCATGTCGACCCGAAACTAGCCGTGCTCAGCCCGAAGTCGGCCTTTCTCTGCCGAGATTTGCTCGAAGTGGGCGTGCAGCAGCTCCAGTTCCCGCCGCAAGCCCGCCCTCTCGGTGTTTGTCGTGCGGTCCGCCACCTCCTCCATGCACTCTTCTAGGGAAGCGGCCGCAGATTTCAGGGCCGACCCATAATAGCCCTTCAAGACTGCGCCCGATTTATTGCCTATTGAGGACATTATTTTCCCCATTACTTTGAATGTGCGAAAGGAATCAGAGCCCGTCCGCACCGAGAGGTCCGCACGGGCTCTCCCTCCGAGGAGTCGGACGAAGCGGAGGACGCCGGCGGTCGAGCCGACTTTTGAACAGATGCAATTTTATTCATTACTTCTTTTTACCAGGGTCAGTCCCCTGGAATCTGGTGGTACCCTCAAGACTGGACTCCCTCGAGCCCTCCACCCGGGGCATTTTTTAAAGAGGTTTACGTCCTCGCGGCAGCAGCCCCCGTCCCCCACGTGTTGATGATTACGGGTTAGCCGGTGGCCCGCTGAGTGCGACGAGCAACACGACAAACCACCGCCCAACGCCCAACGAAACCACGCCGGTATACCGGTACTCCCTCTGGAGGGCGTTCCTCTATAGCCATAGCCAAGGACTTGGCGACCAGCGGCCAGAAGATGCGCAAACAACGCCGGCTCTCTTCTCCATCAATAAGGGAGGCCAAAACTGGCCCACCATCTCCCGTTGGACACACCGAAAAAGGTTCGAACGTGACCCCAAAACATAAAAGGAAACAAAACGATAACGAAACAAAACAACGACGAAAAGAAAATAAACAAAACAAAATAATAACAAAACGTAAAGGGGGAAAGCGATTGAAATTTAAAACGAATTTGTTGGGTTGGGGTAACATTAAAAGTAAAAGTAAACAAAATATAAACAAACGAAATTCGAAGAATTCATGAAATTCAGAAATGAACGTAAAATAAACGAAAATATATAAACAAAAAAAAAACAAAAAAAAGGATTATAAAACTGTGTTTTGTTGATACGCTGAATTACTGAATTTAAGAAATAATAAAAACGAAAAGGGGTGCTGGTTTTCGTCCGCGTCGCTCAATCTCTCTCGCCGTCACAACGAGAGAGAAGGAGCGATATCCCTGGGAATGTTGCACAGAGGCCCGTTATCAGGGATGTTTTCAGGACCCTACCCACTAATTGGCTCCCCTGCACTTTTCGCCCAAGCGTCCGATCCCCTTCGAGGTCAGAACCCGGATGAGGTAAGGGGGTTACCGCAGCCAACACTACAACCAGACGGCGCAGCTCACCCCAAGGACACCCAGCCAACGGAGCCTTCGAGGCGAATCGAAGGTTCTAATACGTCGGCCGTCTCGTTACGGCAGCCCGTCGTGCCGCCCAGACGATGCCGCTAGTGTCCCGGAATACCCCGCTGGACCAAAACTAGCCTGCCGGATCGGGACGCACTTCTCATTACTTCGTATGTTATAAAAAGCGACTCAGGACTCACCGGAAAATGGGCAGAGCGGTTTCTGAATGGTGATAAAGCGTTGTCAATGTCGGCTTTTTAGTAATAATGATTATAATAAATATACAAACATAATAATTATTTAGTTATATTGATATCATCATCATCATCATCATTTCAGCCTATCGCCGTCCACTGCTGAACATAGGCCTCTCCAATAGATTTCCAGTGCGACCGGTCCATTGCCACCTGCATCCAACGAGATATCATTGGATTGATAATTGATATCAATTACGATGAAACTATATGAAACGAGATAAGATGAAATAAAATGAAACAATGTTCTAGAAAATAAAAGAAATCGTGAAGCCACGCACAGTGATTTTATTTACTTAAGTTAATAAATTACCATTGGTATTTGTTTAAATTTGAATAACACACAAAATTAAGAAAGTAAAACCACTCACTCAACTTTGCTCGTTGTATCCCGCCAAAAAGTCTAGTTTTCATAACATTTCATAACATTGAGTTCAATTTCAATTTTTAAACAAAGCATACTTTGATCATTTGTTATAAAAGATTTGGCGTTAAGATCTTTGATGCTTTTGCTTATCTAGTGATCCAAAATATTAAATGTATTATCTATGACCCAGACGAATCAAACAAAATAACCTACAAATTTTATTAAAAAAATAAAAGATCGAAATGTTCTGAAACATTTTCTGTTGTGTATAATTAATGAAAAGTTCTTTAAACATGGCTTCTATACTAATTAATGCTATAAAAAGGCTACATTTATCTCCTCAAATCCGCCTATGTTCGTTGAATTCAGCCGCCGTTACAACCACTACTGCAAATAAAACTATAAACATTTTAAAAAAGGAATGGGAGTTTCCACCGCTGTACACCAAACCCAGAGAGGTTTGGATCGAGAATTTGGACACTGTTGAAGAAAAAAAACTCGGCTTAATCGAATTACATCCCATGGTTTATGCGGCTCCACCTAGGATCGACATAATCCACAGCAACGTTATATGGCAAAGAAAATATAGATGGGTTTCCTGGGCACATACCAAGACGAGAGCTGAAGTTCGGGGTGGAGGCAAGAAACCGTGGCCACAGAAAGGGTTGGGTCGCGCCAGACATGGCTCAATAAGATCACCCCTATTTCGTGGTGGAGGTGTAGCCCATGGTCCTCGCTCAGGCAAATCGCACTTCTTTATGCTGCCATTTCATCTTAGGCTACATGGCTTAACTACAACACTGTCAGCCAAACTAGCTCAAGATGATCTCCATATTGTTAAAGATTTAGAATTGCCAACAGATGAATCACAGTATTTGGTTGATCTTATTGAAAATAGGAACTGGGGGCCTGCAGTTCTAATTATTGACGAGTAAGTATTTTAGTGGTTGAAACAATTTGAATTTATTCGAAAAGCCAGTGCATATGTTGTATAGTTGTATTGTACTATATCACATTATTTTCGTTGACAATCAACAGTTAGGAGTTAAGAGACGACTTGTTAGTAGTAACAGATCCCATCATCTCCTTTTTATCATCACATGGCTAACAACTGCAGCAGATATGTCTTCTTATGTGTTAATCCACAACACACTTTAGAATTAACTCCTCTCCATTGTGTTTCCAGAGTGCTATGAGATGTCTTTCTTTGAGTTTTGAGGAGAGTCCTCAGTTAAACAGTAAGACTTTGCCCTTGCATTTCTGATGTCCATGAATGAATGGGACTACTTACCACTATGGTACCTACAACAGCAATAAACCAAATTTAATTTTAAAATCAGCTTTATCAAAATTTATAAAGTTCTTTTTTGTAAAAAAATCTACTACTACTAAACTATTTCANATGAGATGTCTTTCTTTGAGTTTTGAGGAGAGTCCTCAGTTAAACAGTAAGACTTTGCCCTTGCATTTCTGATGTCCATGAATGAATGGGACTACTTACCACTATGGTACCTACAACAGCAATAAACCAAATTTAATTTTAAAATCAGCTTTATCAAAATTTATAAAGTTCTTTTTTGTAAAAAAATCTACTACTACTAAACTATTTCAGCACCGACTATGCACCAAGGAATATTACGGCGGCCACAGATAACTTGTTGCATGTAAACATTATGCCAGTATACGGACTGAATGTATACTCAATGTTAAAACATGACACTCTCGTTTTAACTCAAGCGGCTGCTGAAAAAATTGAAGAGAAACTATTATATCACTTGCACAGTGATAATAGAGAAAGGATGAAGAAATTCAAAATAGATCAAGTTTAGAATTGAAAAAGTAAATAAAATTGAAAATTTGTGAAAAAGTTTAAGCTAACAGATGTACGAAAATTAAATAAATGTACTTAAGTGTACAAACAGCTCTGTCCTTTACATTAGTGTTTAAAAAAGTAGCAAGCTGAATCTGGTGATGAAAAGGGAAGTGAAGTAAGCAAAATGAAGGTTCATAATAGATCTTTTGTGGCACATGTGATGAAAATTACAATATTGTATCATTTAGTAGAATATTTAGATTTATATTATAAGAGCCAATTAAAATTTCAAATAAATACACATTTTTTGTTCAAATTTAATTTCCCCTTTCTCAAAAGTTTTTGTTTACTTATTTAACACTTAATGATTTATTTTTTTAAGCTGACCAAATTACTTACAATTTTAAACTCAATAGCTTATATTTTATGTAAAATAAACAATCTTTTTTTTTAAATTAATTTTTTATTCCATATGTTGTGTATTATTCCATAGATGTCACATTGTACAAAAAAAACCATCAAAAGCAAATTATTAATCTGGAATTGATGGGTTTTAAAACACAAAGGAAATAATATTCCCTTAGTTTAGTCAACTATTTTCTTCATTTTTTCCTTTAATTACAGGCACCTGTAATTGTATTTATAATTTAGTATTAGTGATACATACATCTAACCACAGACCGCACTGTCATAAGAATTCAATGGAAATGTTTGCTTATTTTAAGCAAAAGTAAATATTAGTCTAGAGGGGTAGAATTATATGTAAAATAAGTATTTTCCTAATATAGTTCTACAAAGTTATGAATAATGTAGATTTTTGATTTGGATAGAAAAGTATAATTAACATTTATAGTTATTCATATGCCAACTATTCTCAGTAACTTAATGTGATCAATTTAAATGTAGTAATATTTTAAAATTGAATTTGAAATTATAATTTAATTTATAATAGTTTATTATTTTTAATTTAAATTATAATTTCAAATTTGGTTATAACTGAATATAGCAATGATAATTACCTTAGGTCCTTGTTTAGGAAAACTTCCTGCCATTTTTTGTCTAATTTGCCACCTGAGGTCAGACCAATTATTTTCTCCTGGTACATTAGGTTTATATTTGGCCCATAGTGACATGTAATAGTGATATAAAGAAACTGGATCACATTTCTTATTTGTAGGTTGTTTAGAAACTTTTATTACTGGAATAAAGATTTTTTATGACAGAAATTTACCACATTTAAAAACTGATGAAAAATCATCAAATCAATTAATCAACAATATTTAGCATTAGACATAAATATCAATCAAAAAATATCCTTTAATATTAATTCGGTTACAAGACTTAGTTAAACAAGAGTTAATATTATACTCACAATTATTGTTAGAACTAACAATATTGTCTTTTGTTTCTTTATGTTTTAAATCTTGTTTTTTTTCAACCCTTACACAAGAGCATGCCCTTCTACTTAAATTGGTATCTGGATTCAACTGTCTTAGATTTGGTGCTGAATGCGGATATGTATTAAAAAGGCCTGGCATTTTTTTTCTACTCGACTTTTGACATTCTTTATTGCAACTTGTACTATCTTGTGTTCTTGACCTGATTCTCGATGAGAATGTACTGGCACTATGAAGTCTGTCTGACCATTGAGTGTCAAATTCTTGGACTGCTGAATTTTTATCTCGATTCTGGAGTTCGTATTTTATTAGCTTTTTTAGATCTGAAAAAATATTTAAGTACAAGTTTTTTNTTTTTCTACTCGACTTTTGACATTCTTTATTGCAACTTGTACTATCTTGTGTTCTTGACCTGATTCTCGATGAGAATGTACTGGCACTATGAAGTCTGTCTGACCATTGAGTGTCAAATTCTTGGACTGCTGAATTTTTATCTCGATTCTGGAGTTCGTATTTTATTAGCTTTTTTAGATCTGAAAAAATATTTAAGTAAAAGTTTTTTTTTTTCTAGAAAATAAAAATAAATCCACTAGACTTTAAATGAACTCTCTGAAACATTTCTCTAGAAAACGAAAATAAGACATTAAAAACACCACGAATAAAAGAAAAATAACTATAAAATAATAATTACAAGGCAATATAGTTGGAATCGTTAAGGAAAATTGAATTCCAAAGAAACATAAAACATTTAAGTTGGTACCTGATATAAAGTACTTCAAAACTTGCCCGCTAATATTTTGTATACCTAAATCGTTCAAATATCTCAATATTTCTCTCGCATCTAACTGTGAAGTTATTTGATAGTATTCGTCATCCTGCATTTTAATATCTTTACTAATTCCAATTAAATAGATTAGTACTTGGATGCCAGCTGGTAAATAGTTAGACTTAAACGACAGTCTCTAACGATGTTCTCTAACGGTGTTATATGCTTAAATTATGTCTTAGCAAATAGGAATTAATACGATGCACTTAATATAGCTCATGTTTAACAATTTAAAAGTCAACACTTTCACTCTTCAACGTATGATGGACAGCAATTCGAGGTCGATTCTGATATCGATTTAAATCAATGAATCGTTTTAAAATGGAAAATCGATCTTAGATTTTTTTGGCTTCGGATAGAACACACCCATAAATAATACAATTACAAATACATTGGTTTGAACAATCGAACACACTTTTACATCCAATCAATCACCATCAAACTCAGGTTTTTAACCGAAAGAAACAACGAAGTATTGTTCGCGTATGAAAATTATCTAATCACGTGTGAAAATGATCATATTATGTTAATTACCGTTGCGTCATTCTCATCCTTATTAACTGACTCTTGTGCTACGTGATTTATTGAACCGGTAATTTTTATTGTTTTCCATTTAAAGAGTAAATTCGAGTCCTTTTTTTCTTAAATCGATTCTTCAGACTTCGCTTCGAATCGATTTATAAATACACCTTTTTCGCGAAGCATTGGTTGAAGTGATTAGAAATAGCATCCCTACTTAAACTTTTCAAATCAGTTTTGTTTGAAATTTCATGAGCTAACGGCCAACAATGTTTTTCTTTTGAATTTGTCTACTTTAACAGGCAAAAGAGATATAGTTTATAGATCCAAACTACGGTAATTCTAAGGCCGACTTTTTGGTGAGAACGTGATAAACAAAGTTATTTTAATTTTATTTTGTCAATTCAGTTTATCTTTAGATATAAACATGAAATCATGGCAGCTAATTAATTGTGTAATATTTCTGCAAGTGCACAAATCCGGGAAATTGAAATAAAATCATTGGACGTGGCCTTTCAAGTTTTTCTATTATACTGGAATATTGCTTAATTGTATTTCATCACATCTCATTTCACCTATATTAAATCCGCTCCAGTTTAATTTTCATATTATATGTACTTAAGTAATAATTGAATATTGTCATAAACTCGACGCTAGCAGCTATACTATTGCAGTACATCGTTTGTTATACTGAAAGAAAAGATCAAAGCTATATTTAATTATTAAATAACATACTTTTTAGTAAATAGCGACTTTAATGGGCTCTTAGGGAGAACCCAAGAAGCTCTCTGTAGCGATTGTGATAAACCTCATTGTTATATTAATAATTTTCTGCGCAATTAAGTAACAAACATCCATACTTTTTTTTATTACTTAGATGGGTGAATAAGCTCACAGCCCACCTGATATTAAAGGGTAATCGGAGCCCATACACAAAATGTATGAAATTCATGCCAAAATTAAGGCAAGCCCAATATTGCCTGGTTGCATAAGTATGCTAAAAAAATGATGGTTACGCTAATTGTTAATTATTCGGTTCATATCAATCTGATAAAACTTAATAGTGCAGCAACAGCTAATGTAAACCTAAAAAAAATCTACAATAAATCCGAAAATAAGTGGAGTTTGTATGTGAACGAACGAGGTCATAGCACACCTGGTATTATTAAATGGCTTCCAGAGCCCATAGACATTCAAACGTCTTTGCCGCCACCCGCTTTGAAATTTGAGATCGAAATCTCAATAAAGTATTGAGTAAACTAACACTTTTTTTTTATTATTTATTAGAGCCATACACCTATTAGGTTAAGTCGGCTTACTAACACTTAATAGTTAAGAATAACGTTTGTACCGTTATTCAAACCGGAACGCAGCTTTACGTCTCTTAAATAGTAAGTGTATTAGCTATGTTTACGTCTTCGCCGTAGAAATAGGAAGGGTGTTGAAATATTAACGTTAAGGCTAGTAAATAATGCTGGAATGCTAATGTCATTTGGCGATCGTCGTATGCGGTAAAATACCCGAGTCCTGGCGTCCATTCTCGGGACGATTAGTCTAATCGCCTTTTACACCTGTGATGTTTCTATTCTGTCACATCACACACGTAAAGATAGGATCACCATTTATCATATACTGGATCTTAAGATCATCTGTCCATCTGTGCAGAATAACTAAAAAAAAACAAGACATATCATCATTTATTTTCGATGTTGATCGTAACAAAAAGTAATCTTTAAAAATATTTTTTTTAAAGCGCATATTTCTAACATAGAGCTAAAATGCATTCGGATGCACATAAGAACATGGTATTTCGGTTAAAAACATGATTTTTTAAATTAATAAAACAACTTTATACTCCAAAGATTTTATTGGTTCAACAAATTCATTCAACATTTTAATAAACAAATTTTAATATAGCACTTTATAGAACAAAAACATTAAACTATAGTTTTATCTTTTAAAATAATTGACAACAAATACACAATTTTAATAACTAATTCTTCGCACATGAAATAAAATAATAATAAAAAAAATTGTTACAATACAATGCGACTCAAGTAATATCATAGCAAATATACAGGGTGTTCTGAAATCGTTTTCCAAACCAAACACGACGATTCGCTACTGGCGTGTAGTTTACGGAAAACATTATTTAATTAGTAAACAAAGCATAAATACTTGTCATCTTAGCAAATTCATATTTCGTGAGCCCGAAATATCAAACAATAAATTGTCTCCGCACGCCACTCTTCCCTATAAAATGTACCAACTTACTTTACTTGTACACAGAGTATACATAGCATAAGTAATTCGTTTCCAGCACACCCTATATACTATAAACTAAAAGACAACATGATATACATACATATACTAGGGCAGTATTAAATACTTTACACTTAAAATATCCTTGCACCTTTAGGATAATCACAAATCATATTTTATTTTATTTTAGGGTCCTATTGCGGTTCACCTGATGTTCAATGGACACAAAGGCCCACAGACATACAGTGAATTTCGCCCCAGATCTTGAGACAACATGAGTCTCACTAGTATTGTAATAAGGCTGCATTTCAAACAACAAAGCTCTAAAGAGGCCATACATGAGATGGTCATATCAAATGTGAGCTGTCATCCCGTCTTTTTTTATTGCCCTTGTAGGTAGACGAGCATACGGCCTACTAATGGTAATGGTTACCGTCGCCTATGGACCTCAGCAATTCCAGGGGCAGAGCCAAGCCGCTGCCTACAATAATATTTACATTAACATGATATTTATGTTTTATTAATACAACATATATTAATAATAAGCATATTGCAAAAACGTTATTAGATAATGTGCGTTTAAATAAAGATTTTTTTAATATCATACATACACGCAATTTTTTCCAAATAAATTATTACGATAACGAAATCAAGAGAAAACAAAAAATCAAGTAAAATTTTATATTATAACACTTTCATACGTCACAATTGGAAGGATATTAATAATATAGTAACTTTAGTTAACGATGGTCACACCACGATAATACATTTTAATAAAATATTAGTATTTTTTAATACAGTAGTTCTCGAATAGACCTAATCGGCCTAAAACAGCGGGACGAAACGTTGTAATACAATATTATATTGTTTCTCAGAGTACAAACTATTTTTATGCCGATTTCCGACAAAATCGATACATCGAGTTGGGCGTGGAAAAATTACAGACCGTGGTCATTTCGTAATTTTCAAATATTAGTATAGAATGAATTGTCATTTTGTTGAACATTTTGTATATTCATAAAACCCTGATATGACTGAATTGGGTAATCTGTATTCAGCAGCTCAATGATATTTATATCTTTATCTTTAATAGTAAAATTTTCACGAATATTAAGTGTGCTTAGTGTGAGTTTTTAACGTTCTCGATAGCGTTAAAGTTAATTCGAATTTGTATGGAGTTGGAACGTTTCCCTGCGTTCGCCGCTAGGGGCGCTGTTCCAATTGCATACAAATTCGAGTTAACTTTTACGATATCGAGAACGTTAAAGGCTTTGTCAAACAGAACGCGTACTTAGCGCTGCGTTTTAACGTCGCGCTCTTTACATGTCACACAAATCGTCAAATCATAGTGCCTTTCGATAGCAATGTGAAAATTTAAAAGTATTAAGATGTCGAGTGATTCAGATGTGGCATTGTTTAAACATGGGTATTTCCTAACTAATTCTATAAATTTTTCGGGCATTATCTAGTATTTTAATACATATTCACTCGGACGCTAAATGAAATTTGTAAAAAATTACAACGCCTGACATCAAAGCGTCCTAACGCCGTGACAGAGCGTTGCGTACATATAGCGCTGGCGCACTGTTTGACAGTATATTACCATAGTATTACAACACATCTCAGCGTCATAGCGCGGCGTCAGTTTAACGCTTTGACGCGCGCTAAGTACGCGTTCCGTTCCGCGAAGCCTTAAAAAACCCGCACTAAGCCCACTGTTTGATTTGTTTGTGAAAATGTTAATCAAACGACCATGTATGTATTAAACATTGGCCACGGCTTTGATTATGTTCACGTATATGTCTATGCCTCTGAGGTATATGTCAGAGTGGATGTACTCGTCGTGGTCGTGCAGGAGAACCGGGGTGCGGTTCATTGGAGAGAAACCGATAGCGGGTATCCCGACGCGCCTTATGTACCTGCTGTCAGTGCCGCCGGGAAAGATCCTGATGTCCAACTTAAGTTGCCTGATTGGAATATACATAAATGTAAAGAAAAACGTTTAAGACTCTTACGTTTTAAATTATTATACTTAAACGGAACCACTCATCTGTCTGTTATTCAATGAAATGAGAGTTCGTTGAAGGGCTCACGACACGCCCTATCGCCAATAATTACGCAATTATAATTGAAGACATGAGTGGATGAAGGGGTTAAGTACTATTTTTAAGATTTTTGAGTTTTTACCTTGCATGAAGGTGTTATGTGCCTATAAACCATACTAGACCTTAAAACTCTAGGTTTAAAGGCCCCACCTGATGGTGAGTGGTCACCGTCGCCCATGGACTTCAGCAATGCCAGGGGCAGATCCAAACCGCTGCCTACCTCTTAATACTCTCCACAAGCCTCGTTTGAAGAAGGACATGTCATAGCGCTCGGGAAACACCATGGAGGGGAGCTCATTCCATAGCCGGATGGTACGTGGCAAAAAAGACCTCTGGAAACGCACTGTGGATGAACATTGTGGCTCCAGGGAGTATGGATGAACTCTACTCAGGTGGCGGGCGGTGCGATGGTAAAAACGAGATGACGGTATCATCTCGAACAATTCCTCAGGCCTCAGAGCACTCCCCATGGAACATACGGTACAAAATACAGAGGGAACCGAAGTCCCTCCGCAGACCCAGAGGTTCCAAACGATCGTGAAAGTCATTCGTTAACATGTGTATGCCACGGCGACATCTTCGGATATAACTACGTCATCAAATAATTTTAGTAAGCATTTACTATTCAGCGCTTATACAGTGGCTTATAGTTACGTTACCGGATAATAATATCTAGGTGTGAAAGGCTATTTGGTTTAAGCGACATTTCGCTTAATAAGCGACATTGATATTTGTAATTAAATGTGCGTTTTATTTAGTATTAGCATAAACAGTTCGATGATTTTAATTGAACTTCAATTAAGTTTACCATTCAAATAGCTGAAGAAGTTTTTTTTTGTTATGGATATTTTTTCCAAATTTAAAACTTTAAATGGCTCTCCTGTGAAGTTGCAAAAATGTCGCTTAAAGTAAATAGCCTTTGTCCTCTCAATAAGATGTATTTCGCACTATATCTATACTAATATATAAATGTACAGTGGTTTTTACTGATGTTCCGTTATAACTACTGAACCGTGCATCCGATTGACTTGAAACTTGGTATTCATGTAGAAAATACACGTACTTAATGGATAGGCTAATATTTATATGAGTGTTGGACTCCCTACACCAGTTGCGGGGGCGTTAATGATGAGAATCTTTGTGGGGGTGAGAAATAATAATGTTAATTTTAAATGCCCAGCGAAGCGAACTGGTACAGCTAGTCATTTATTATGGTATTACTTACAATTCGTCAGTAGCTGCTTTGAAGGCGGTCCAAAAAGGATTAGAAGCGTCTACCTTAGTACACTCAACGTAAGGATTTTTCTGTTCAAATTCGATGGTGACGCCTTCACCGGCCTCTTTGCACCATTGATTGATCTGTGAATTTTATTTGCATTATCTTAAATTCATTTAAATTTCTTAAGAAATATATAATATATTTGTATGCGAGCCTCATAAACACTGGAACGTTAACTCCGCTGTCCGACTCCAAACATGAGGTCGAAACCGCATAGTAAGAAGAACTAATAAATAAATGACAAACGCACTGCCTATGACAATAGCCAGTTTGAATATTTTCATGTAACTAACATCAGGTCGTATTCTGTACTTAGACAGCATAATTAATATAAATATTTAATATTATATTATATATGTCTAAGCATATGCAACAGTTTAATTATATTATTAAAAAAAAGTCAAAATTAAACTGAATTTTTATCTACCTACTTTCATAATATATTTTTCAAGTATGGCAATTGACTTCTTGCGATTCCAATGTTGCCAGAGTTCAATTTGTAAAAATTCTATACATACATAATATGTACTGTTATATGAACAATGATATGAGAAACAAGGTGAGATCAGATAGAATAAAAGCTGAGTGAAATTGTGGATAACTTCTGAGCCTCCGGAGGAATTTTTGATGACAAGTTCCTAACATTTGAGCCCTCACACATATTATAAACGTTTAATAAGCCACCCTTAGTAGACATTCGAAACTGAAGAGACGCTAATTTAATAAAAACAATTCCCACAACTTCGCTCCTCGCATTCCTACTATAAAGTATCTAAAGCGAATTCCCAGAACCGAGCACGCATACCATGGCTTCAAACTCCACGTGATCGACGGTGACGGCCAATCGTATATCGAAAACGGCCGTCAGCTTTTCCGGGACCACATTCGACTGCACGCCACCCTGAAAGGTTTGGTATTGTTAAAAACGAAAACACCAAATCTCCTGCGACTGTATTATTGTGCAAGTTTCACTCAAAAAAAATAAGAAAATACACGCTCAAAGCCAATTATTATATCTTGTGAACGGTGTAAGCCCACACTTACCCCAATATTTAATACAAAAACGGGACAGCTTGTAAAATAAATAGAAATTAATACGATTACATATATCATCATCATTCGCCTGCCCTTCTCCCTGTCATCTGGGGACGACGCAATATGTTGTCTCCTTCCATACTCCTCTATCATATACCATTTCTTCGCTCACTTCCATCTTACCCATGTCGTCTTTCACGCAATCCATCCATTTCTTCTTAGGTCTACCTCTTCCTCTATATCCTTCCATAGTCATAGTTAACACCCTCTTACCAAACTCATTTTCATTTCGTCTCATCACATGTCCATACCATTCCAAACGCGCACATCTCAACTTCTCTGTCTCAGGTGCCACTTTCAGACTTCCTCTAACATTCATTCCGATTACACATGATAAAAAATAGACCGTATAAAATTTCGACATTGAAATTTGTTACAAAAGTATTTTTGGTAGATTTTTTAAATTATTATAGAATTTAACAATACTGAATTAGGTATTATTTAAAAAAATAAACGCAAAAACGAGTTTTTGTATATATAACTAAAAAAAAACGTACGTAAAGCTGGTTTAAATTAACGGTAGTGACGTCACCGATGGTCAGTTTCGGATCTCCGTCCAAAATTCTCTTCTGTTCCTCCCTAAGGTCCATGAACTTGTTGATGATGTATCTAATCTGAAATTAATATATATACATTTATATCTCGTCTCGGAATTCGGTAAGTATTAAAAAAAATACATTTTAACACGCTTTTCTTATTTTTGTAAGTATATATGGGCGCAAACGCCACTGTTGGCAATAATTAACATAATAATATATAATTTAGTTTATTCTATGTTAATATTTATTTATTATTAGCAACAAAACTGTTATTCTACCATATTTAATAATTAGCTGACACTGTTTTGATGTGAAAATGTTCAGAATATGTTTTATGTTTATATTATTGTTTAAAAACACAAATGACTGTATAAATGATTAAATATGAATAAAGCATAAATATTAATAATAATTTATATTAAAATTAACAGTACTAATAATTTAATTAAGTATTGTAATTGTTATGCAATGATGTTGTTGGCGCCATCTATTATTAGGCTGGATAATAACAATGTTAGTTAATATTACTTAAAAGTAATTCATGTAAAATAAATTAAATGTGAGTCATGTAAAATCACTAAAATATGTATTTTGAATATTAAGCTATGTTTTGTGAATTGTTTCGCAGTAATTACATTTGTTTGTATAAAAGAAGTTGTAGTTGCTATAACCACCACAAAATGGCTAATTGTGTAAGAACCACTGAATAATTCAGGCGTGGCTTTTTGTTGAAAACGAGTAATGTTAAAGTTTTATAGAATTGTATTGTATTTTCATTGTAAAAGGCCTTATGTGTGTAAACTCTGGCTTAACGCCGACATATACTATGTATTTTCAGAATACCTATAGTTAACTCATTCAGTATAACTAGGGCTGATACTATTTTTTTTTTATTAAAGATTAAAATGTAACAGTAAACTTAATCAATATAATTGAATGAAATCATCTTGAACATTGTAATGATAATTTGCTTGTTTGTTTGTTTGTTTGTACTGAATCAAGTTTATATCTGCATTATGTTCGTTTGTATACATGTAACGGAAAGACGTCCGATCAACTTGAAAATTTTCAGTTAATTATTATTAACTATTATTCAGTTAATTATTATTAGCTATTATTCAGAAAATAATTATTAGCTATTATTCAGACAATAATTATTAACTATTATTCAGACAATAATTATTAACTATTATTCAGTTAATAGTAGTCAGAATATTAGAACGAATTCATTGTATTATCATAGTTTCTACATGCGTGTGCAAATTTTCAAGTTCAAAAGAGATGAAACTAATTGTTAGTTCGTTCTTTATAGTTTTTAAACTCGATACATTACTTTTATTTTGGTCCGAGAACGGCCTTTATTGTACGATGACGTCAAAGTGCACAATCTATACTATTATTATAAAGAGGAAAGATTTGTTTGTTTGTTTGTATTGAATAGGCTTCGAAACTACTGAACCGATTTGAAAAATTATTTCACTGTTTGGAAGCTACACTATTCCCGAGTGACATAGGACTCTTTTTTTTAAAAAAAATAGGGATCCTTACTAAAACTCCAATAATGTAACCCAAGGTGAAAAAAAATTACATAAAATATTATTTACATCGCGTGCCCTGCGAAAACTATTGATGATAGAATAAAATTATGTACTACGACTTTGTAGAATACATTATTATTTACGAAAAGTGTTGCGAGAGCATATGTCTAACTATTATAGTTATGCTGCAATAAGTGTTCTTTTATTTAAAAAATAAAAACAACGTCAAATATCGTTGAAATTTTTGTTAGACCCGAGCGAACCCGGATCGGGCCACTTGTCAGTATATAATTAAGTAACTCTTTAGCTTACCTTTTCTCCGGCAGTGTTGGGAATCAACAGGGAACCATGTCCGGGCTGGCCAGTGCAATGTACGTGAGTTTCTGTTCAAATACAATTCGCAACTTTAAAATTTAAGTGGCTTAATCGAAAATTCTTCGTTTTTTTGGTAAACGCCAAAAATTTTATTGAATAATTGTAACCCTTCAGTTTTGATTATAATATTTTATAATTTGCGTTATTACTGGTGGTAAGATCTGTATGCAGCGTCTCCTCAAGTACTTCGGACACGTGGCTCGACAAAATCCTGACAACTTGGAAAAGCTAACAGTTGTAGGTCACGTGGAAGGAAAGAGAAGTCGAGGAAGATTGCCAACCAGGAGGACGGACATTGTCAAGGAGGTCACAAACACTAGCGTCCCGGGCGCCATTAAGCAGGCCGAATGCAGGCAACATTGGAGGAAGCTGGTGCAAAAACTGGACCAAGGTGGTCACGACCCTCAGTAATGAGGAAACGAGAAAGAAGAGAAGAGAACATCTCTTGTAAGTCCGCGCGGGTAGATACCACCACCCTGCCTATTTCTGCCGTGAAGCAGTAATGCCTTTCGGTTTGAAGGGTGGGGCTGCCGTTGTATCTATACTTTAGACCTTAGAACTTATATTTCAAAGTGGGTGGCGCATTTACGTTGTCTATGGGCTCCAGTAACCACTTAATACCAAGTGAGTTGTGAGCTCGTCCACCCATCTAAGTTATAAAAAAGGAGACCCATATTGAACTTTTGCATTAAAAATGCTCGTATCATCTTATTGCTTTTACACATTTGACTTCATGACTTCAACTTAAATTTGTTAAATATCAAATTCAATTATGTAAACATCATATTCAATTTCTTCGCCAAGATTAGATTTTTTTATTATTGTTCTTTTAAAATTAACAAATAAAAAAAAAAAGAGGAAATTAAAAAAAACACATGTCAATTAAATGTGTTCAAGTCATTGAATTTGAAGTTTATCAATTGATATTGAAGTTAAAAACCTTCATATTGATTCTCCTCTTCAAGTTTTTTTAAATGATTTACATGCTTGAATGTATCCTTGGAATATGACTAAAATTCTAAGTCTACAATATTTTTTTACTTACGCCATATACTCCTTTCCCCGTTAAAAACAATGAAATCCTCGTTAGGAGATGCCATTCCTTCATCCAAAGCGAAACCAATATTGAGAGCTTTAAATTCATTCATTTTAACAAATTTCTCCATGCCATCATGGCCGCCGATTTCTTCGTCTATAACATTAAATAAGTTACTAGTATAAATGCATGTTACACTTAAGCATATCCTATTGAATAATTATTAATAAAAAAATTTAAACATAAACATGTAATACACGAATATATTTGTTGTGGGTGTAATTAAAAATACTGTTAAATAGGCAGCGCATAAAATAAAACTTCCACTGTTCCAAAATCTTCTGTCATAATAATAATTAAAATTAATTAACACTTTTATTACGCCTTTCTCATTTTTTTTACCGTCTTCGCCATATCCCTTTTCTCTGTCATTCTCTTTTTTCCCTTTCTTTCCGTTTTCTCTCACTCACATCTTAAAGCTCCATTCCACATTCTTTTCATACGTTCCGTTCCTACCAATCCTACAAACCCATCGAAACTAAATTCAAGCTATTTCTGGTGGAAAAGCATAGTACCAAACTACCACGGAAGCAGACTTCATCCCTATTACATAGTCTTCCAAACAAATCTAGAAAAGAATCATCGATAGAACGCGGAAACTTGGAGTTTCCCTCTGGTATTGCTGATGCCCATGAGTGATCGACTACTTACGATTAGGTAAAGGGCGTATATTCGTGTACCTTCGTAGCCAAAACAATCAAGGTTAAAAATTTGGCATTTAAATAAGGTCTTTCATTTGATCGCATATTTGGTATTTTTTCAATACTTCATAGTACATTTTTTATTTATACTAATAATATATAAATCTACAGTGGTTTTTACGGATGTTTCGTTATAACTACTGAACCATGCATCCGATTGACTTGAAACTTGGTATCCATGTAGAAACGACATGTACTACTTATATGAGTGTTGGACTCCCTGATAATAATGACAATAAATAATAATGTTAATTTTAAATGCCCAGCAAAGCGGGCGAGTACGGTTAGTTTATTTATATCTTCAATACTAGATTAGTTCACACATACTTATTATGTATCTAATAGCGATTTCTAATGCGCCAAAAAATCTAGAGAACTAAAATGTATTATGTATAAAGTGTACTTAATTACCAGGAACGAAGGAAATATGAAGAGTTCTTTTCAATGCAACTTGGGCGGCTTTCAATTTCCTTATCGCTTCTAAATATTGGATACCAACGCATTTCATGTCTTGGGAGCCCCTTGCGAAAATCTTTCCATCGTTGTCTATGTGTCCGCTAAACGGTGGATATGTCCAACTGTTCTGGAATTGAATGACATTGTTTTCTTTTAAGGCTCTTTGTTTTAAGCGATATTTTTGCAAATTTATAGGAGAACCATTTAAAGTTAAAAATTTGGAAAAAATATCACAACTTCTTCAGTTACGCGAATGGGGTAAACTTTTTTTTTATTGCTTAGATGTGTGGACGAGCTCACAGCCCACCTGGTGTTAAGTTGTTACTGGAGCCCATAAACATCTACAACGTAAATGCGCCACACAGCTTGAGATATAAGTTCTAAGGTCTTAGTATAGTTACAACGGCTGCCCCACCCTTCAAACCGAAACGCATTACTGCTTCACGGCAGAAATAGGCGGAGTGGTGGTACCTACCCGTGCGGACTCACAAGAGGTCCTAGCACCAATTACCTTAAACCAAATAGCCTTTTACACCTCGATACAGATAATATACTTATAGATATATATATATGAATCTGTTTAGACCTTTATAGTACATACCCATGCTCTAAACAAACGAACTTGAATCAGACTGCGATTATTATCGTACAAAATGTTTATTCACGTGTCGAAAAACGACCATTAAATAGAAGAAATTCTGCAATAAGCTGAACCACGCTAACGACATTTTGAAGAGAATCTCGCATTTAGACTATTATAGTTTAAAACAACAACATAACGTTGGTCTTATATATAGCGCGATTAGTCCAAGAATTTCCCTTTAATCGTTTATTTATTTATTTTTTCCACAGGAGAAGATCGCCGGATTCCCACCCGCACGGCAGGTGGGGTATGTGGGAGTCGAACCTCACTAAAAACTCCTGCCGCTCACAGCCGGCGCCCTACCATGGACCGAGCGGGAACCCAGTCGGAGCTATTGAGACAGCGGGACAGGGTTTACGCAGAGCATATTACATCCATCCCGCCGTCCCCCAGACGTCGGACCGGCGACCGCCAGCAACATGACCGCCGGTTCCCTCGGTCGACGGGCCAAGAGCCCGATTGATAGCGCCACGCTACGCCTTCCCCCGGAGCGGTCGGGGGAACGCGACCTACCACGCCGCCCCACGCCTAGGTTCTTCCCCGCACAAAGCGGGTGGAGCCACTGAAGCTCTTTAAAACTAGGTATATTTTTATTAACTACGAGCATACCTTGTTTTTCTTTGACTTGTCTATAATGTCTTGTCTTGAAATAAAATATTAAAGTATTTTTTCGCCTATTAATACATTTATAACTAATTAAATTATGTCGTTAAAGGACAAGACTTTGAAATTAAAATATTTTAAAATGTTCCTTGTACAATATACCTACCATCGCAACTGTTTAAATAATATAGTGAATAGTAAATAAGACAAGTTTATCGGTACAAATAAAACAAACTGCAATATCACATTGTATTCTCGACTTTGGCTCTTTACCATATCTTTTAGACGATAACAGGCTATCTCAAGCAATATAAAAAAATTCTGCTCTTAATGTCAAATATGTGTACCTATGTTATATTTTGTATGGCATTTTATAGTGCAGATAGGCCAAGGTCGTAACGTGTGAAGACATCCAACGAGGTGGACCGATGACCTGGTCAATGGGGTTGAATAGTAGTTGGTGAGGACTGGATACGAAAGGCAAGAGACCGAAGAGAATGGGATGCATTCGAAGAGACCTACACTCAGCATTGGGTGGACATGGGTTGAAGAAGTGAGGGCAACCAGTTTCACAACCTGTCTCGTCTGGTCTTAAATCGCTACTGGAGCTCATAGACACGAATCCCAACTTGAAGCTAGAGGTCGAAATCACCTAAATAGCTGTTCCTTTAAACCCGAATGCTTTATTGCTTCGCTGCTTAAATAAGCTTGATGATGCAGGACGATCGCAATGTGCATCATGTTTTTTTTATTGCTTAGATGGGTGTGGACGAGCTCACAACCCACCTGGTGTTAAGTGGTCACTAGAGCCCATAGACATCTACAACGTAAATGCGCCACCCACCTTGAGATATAAGTTCTAAGGTCTCAGTATAGTTACAACGGCTACCCCACTCTTCGAACCGAAACGCATTACTGATTCATTTCAGAAATACGCGGGGTGGTGGTAACTACCCGTGCGGACATGTATACTGCCACAAATGAAGCTCAACTTCGGATTTGATAGGTATTTCGTCTTATTGTTTCCATGCATTTAAAATATTAGCGTAATAATCGCAATAATCTTTAGCCAATATGCGCTAAAAAACACAAAAAAAACTACCAATACTCACTTCGAAAACCGGCACAACATCCATATGCGAATTCAATAATATTGCCGGCAGATTTGGTTCTTTTCCGGTCCATGTCAAAACGACGATCGGTTTCGTCGGCACGACCTCGTATATTTTTACGGCTAAACCAATTTCGTTCGCTTGTCTCGTTAAGAATTTAACGCAATCACCTGTAATAATGATGAGTTTTCAAAAGAATCCTTGTGGTATTTTTTTAAATGCTTTATATTCAATTCAACCACCAGATTTATTGACATAAATTAGTGTGATAACTTTTCTAATATTGCCCTTATGAGCAAATAACGCCTACACGCCAACACGGCCTACTTGATGGCGAGGGGTTACCCTGGCTCATGGGCGTTAGCAATACCAGAAACATAGCCTCCTATATCGATGCCGAAAATTACTCAAAAAATAATCCGTCATGATATACGAAATCACTATCATCTGCTCTTAGAAGGTTGGATAAAGTTGACCTATATGGGTTAGTACCACCATTCATAACTCAACGCATTCCGTAAAATTGAGACTTCGATCTGACGTATCAAGACGGCATTGACGACGCCACGTCTATAGGCTCCGGTGGCCATATAACTCCAGATACTTGTCATGAAAACTGGACATTCAGGATCAAAATGAAACATGCGTGGTACACATCGCTGTTGACAAAATGTTAAACGTTCCGCATTCGACGGCCCAAAGCAATGAATCGCAATCAGCAAATACGGTACCGAAAACATGTATGTGTAAAGAAAGAATAAGTACACCTGATCCAGATATACGAAAAAATTGGGGGTAGACAATGGGCTACGCTGTGCTCCGGACATGCCTGTTCCTTGACGATCGATAATCGCTTACTGTTAGGTGGGCCGTATCGTCTGCCTATTAAGGCATTTAAAACAAAAACAACAAAAATAATACACTAGTTTTAGAGCATTATAATGTTAGCCCATTACGCCAAATTGTTTGTACCAGCAATGGACCTATTTCACATAGTAGTACCACGGTCTCCAATTGAGAACCCTCCGTATTAATGAATGTATCCTGATCACACATGACAAACGCTTGGATCCGCAGACGAGGGATAACGCTTCGCAACTTAACTGCACATTATCTATTAACACAATTTAGTTCGTTTCGTTTGAGAGATGAACTATGCGTGTCGATGAATAAGCTCACGGCCTACCTAATGTTAGGTGGTTACCGGACCCTTTACGGGTTACAACGTGAATGCCGCCACCCGCCTTGAGACTGGAGTCGAAGTCTCAATTACATTGGAATCTTGGATTCCATCCAACTTTTATAGTCAGGTTGAGTTAATCGAGGTTCACTACACGGGGGTCGATGGCACTGTAAGGGGCTCCCGTGTGGTGAAACACCCTGACCCGCGACAACGTCGCAACGTTGCGACGTCCACAGCGCGCAATTGCGGTCAGGGCGGTTCGCGAATACCGCACCGTCTCGTTCGAGACGGTGTGCGTGCTCGCCGGGACGCCTCCTTTGGACCTAAGCGGAGGCGCTCGTTGCGAATTACGCGTGGCGATGCGATCTCCGCCCGGTCCTCTCGGACTGGGTGAATCGCGACCGAGGACGTCTCATCTTCTGAGCGACGCAGGTGCTCACGGGAAACGCTGTGTCGGTCGCTCCCTGCATCTCGTCGCCCGGAGGGAGCCGACGCCGAAGTGCCACCACTGCAGTGGCTGCAACGAGGACGCGGCGGAGCACACGCTCGCGTACTGCCACGCTTTCGCGGAGCAGCGCCGCGTTCTCGTTGCAAAAATAGGACCGGACTTGTCGCTTCCGAACGTCGTGGCTACGATACTCGGCAGCGACGAGTCCTAGCAGGCGATGCTCTACTTCTGCGTGTCCACCATCTCGCAGAAGGAGGCGGCGGAACGGGAGAGGTAGAGCTCTTCTTCCCTCTGGCCGCCGTGCCGCCGCCGCCGAGCCGGAGATCAGAGGAGGGCGTTTGTCCAGCTCCAGCTTCTATGAGGAGGCAGTGATGTCCGGGTGATGGACACGGGGCGACCTAAGGGGGTTGAGGCTGCGCCGCACGCTATCGTCACTCTAGCGCGCTGGCACCAGGAGGATGGGACGATGCGTCGGCGGCTGCGGCCTGCGATGTGGTCCGCGTGTCGTCGTCGCTGTCGTCGCCGAACATACTGTGGAAGAGCAACCCGGTCGGCGGTGTATCGCGTTTCGACCCGACAGGCTGGTTCTAGCCCAGCGGAGTATCCCGGAACACCAGAGGCATCACCCGGCCGGCCTGGTAGGGCCGCCGTACTGTTACGGGGTGGGTCCAGGAGCTCTTTTTAAAAAAAGGACACGGAGACTGGCACGGAGTTTATTTTATGAAAGAAGTAGTACAAATGATGTATGTTTCCGCTACTCAAGCCAAATCTGTTCTGCCCCGTTTAAGCAATATATTGTCTTTATATAGAGACAATGCATTCAAGAATGCCTTAGTCGGCATTATTATTTATATTACGTTATTACTGAGGGGCATATGTAACATCCCCCTCCTTAAGATTCATCGTCACCGATGAATGGTCACGGACGTTGACGTTGAGATAAACTAGAGCGGTAAGTATAGAATTTGGCTTTTGTTTTGGATAACAANCCTATTTTACTTTCCCCAATTTATTCGACTAAGTACTATTACAACGATAAATATTGTGTGAGACTCCCAGCGCTGAAACAATGCTTCCTATAACTACAAATTTTTACGCTAGTTTAAAACTGCATTTTTTTAACTAAACAAATACGCGTTCCTAAACAAATTACGCTATCTAAATTCATATAAACATTATCTTATTTAGATATCTACGCGAAAACGAATTGTATACGAGAATAGACTATATTACACAGAAAAAACGATTTAGTAAAAACTTTAAAAGAGGTAAATGCTTCTTAAACACAAAAACATTAAACGCTTTAATAAAAATTTATGGCGGAGCATAAATATTTATTTGAGTTCGAATCGTATGTTAGAACATTTTAGAATACCAATTATTTAAACATTTACTAAAAATATTTTTAATTTAATAATGAATTCTGTTATGAAACTTACTGTAATCAATGTTCGGTTGGACACTGGGTATTTTCAAGTACTCGACGAAATTAGCGATAGACGGATTATTTTGGTAAGTCGATGCCATCGTGCGCTTCTATCGAGAGTTTGATGTGGAATGAACGCCTTCAGCGCTTGCATCGAATATCAAGTGGCCTGTCTGATAACGAATTATACAATCTATACATATACTTAAATAAAATTAGAGTGTCTGTTTGTAATATTGAAATAACCGCTTTTTACTACATGCATATGAATATATATACGGTACATACACCAAAATAACATTTTTTACAATTTATTTACAATTACTATTATTATACTTATATTCAATTTTTGTCTGTCTGTCTGTCTGTCTGTCTGTTTGTTCCGGCTAATCTCTGGAACGGCTGGTCCGATTATGATGAGACTTTCACTAATAGGTAGCTGATGATATAAGGAGTAACTTAGGCTACTTTTTTTAGACTAGCTTCGCCCCGCGGCGTCACCCTCAGTTATTGTCGTACCGCGCGCAACATGGCGGGACGCGCCTATCAATAATAAAATTTAATGTTTCCGAAGCGAAGCGAGGACGGGTCGCTAGTTTATAATATAACTTATAGTATAGAACACGCTTGGGTAGCAATTAAATAAACTTATTTTTTAATACTATTTAAACTAATCCGGATATTAGAGCGAAGTTAGAAAATCATTATGATGGGTGTCCTTCCTTGATGTGTGAGCATATTTTCAAGTTAATCAGACGTTTTGATGTCGGTCAAGATGACCTTCAAAGATTACGTTATTTAAACGTCTTCTTCTTCTCAATCGTGTCACTCTTGACAGAGTCAGATCGTGATCGTCATGTAGTATTGGAGGGGGCAGACTTGGTGCGTCTCACGATGTCCCGCCATCTACCCTGCTCAATCTAGCTTTAATTTGGTCGATCCCCCGCATTGGTGACCACCCCCGCGGTCTTGTACCATCAACCTTTCCCTGTACAACGAGGCGTTCTATGGACTGNCTTCTTCTTCTCAATCGTGTCACTCTTGACAGAGTCAGATCGTGATCGTCATGTAGTATTGGAGGGGGCAGACTTGGTGCGTCTCACGATGTCCCGCCATCTACCCTGCTCAATCTAGCTTTAATTTGGTCGATCCCCCGCATTGGTGACCACCCCCGCGGTCTTGTACCATCAACCTTTCCCTGTACAACGAGGCGTTTTATGGACTGGCCATCTCGTCGCGAAACCTATCCGAAGAAATCCATCATTCTCTATATATAATATTATATTCTATGACGTATACAAACATACACATAAATATTCCCAGCTAATTCAAGCTTGTTAACATTACCCACGCATTACAAGTGCTCTTCATGAACAGTAATAATACACAATTTAAAATCATTTATATTGTGTTTTATGACATCCGCAAAACTGATGACCCTAAAGTCGTCGTGACCTAAAGGATAAGACGTCCGGTGCATTCGTGTTGACCGATGCACCGGTGTTCGAATCTCAGGCGTGTACCAATTTTTCTAATGAAATATGTACTCGCGAATCGCCACGCCGTACACGCCATATGTATTAGTGAGTTAAAAGAGGTCGCGTGGCATAAAAAAGCTAGCATAGAAGCAGAGAGCGGCTTTATTTTTTATTATTTTGAGAAATCATTTTTTTTATTTATTGCTTAGATGGGGGACGAGCTCACAGCCCACCTGTTGGTAAGTGGTTACTGGAGCCCATAGACATCTACAACTTAAATACGCCACCCACCTTGAGATGTAAGTTCTAAGGTCTCAGTATAGTTACAACGGCTACCCCACCCTTCACGGCAGAAATAGGCGGGGTGGTGGTACCTACCCGTGCGGACTCACAAGAGGTCCTACCACCAGTGATTACGCAAATTATAATTTTGCGCGTTTGATTTTTATTACACGATGTTATTCCTTGACCGTGGAAGTCAATCGTGAACATTTGTTAAGTATGTATTTCATTAGAAAAATTGGTACCCGCCTGCGGGATTCGAACGCCAGTGCATCGCTATCTACGAATGGGCTCCAGTAACCACTTAACACCAGGTGGGCTGTCGGTGGTGAGCTCGTCCACTCATCTAAGCAATAAAAAAAAAAGTGTTTGTAATTCTTTGGAACCTAAGCATAGGAACTAAACTATTTCAACTGTCAGATCTTTCTTTCTATGCTTTTGTTACTTCTACTGTAAGGTTAATTATTTAGAATTATACTTAATAATTTTAATCATCCATACTTCAATTGGATATCTGAGTCTGCAATTGCAGAATATCATCAACTTTAGTTTTATTTTCACTGTTTCCCACATATTCCCCATATAGACTTTTATGAGCAAAATAAGACTAAGCCAAGCTCAATTAATCCCAGTTAGTTTATGATGTTAAGTGAACTCAATCAGTTGATATCTATGTTAGATACATAAACTTAAGGTTCTTCTGCCCTGGACTCGTGGGCTATGGGACCTTATGCATTTGGTGATTATAATGTTGCTGAACATAATAAAGAGATCATGTCTTGTTTGCAGTCTTTATATGTTGATTGTATTCTGAGATGCAGAGTAACAAAAAATTTATAACGATTGAGTGCTCACTTTTAAGGTTGCCCCAAGGATCTACATAGCACAAGTTTACTCTGACCTATACAGAAAGGACAGCAACAAATCCTTGGTTTTCAATCGGGGCCTAACTTGTCGATGCAAACTGGTGTTCGTGAGATGCTTTACAGTGACAAATGCAATTATTGTGAGGGTCACTTGCAAGTTGAAGGAGCAAGTAGAATTCACTGAATAATGTTACACAAATGTTTTGTTCGTAATGTCCAAATTTTCCTGATGTCCAATAGTACAATTTACATGTGCATAATACCATACAATCTCTGATATATTTGATTGATCTATAAAATCTAAAACTTTTCGAAAGCATCTAATGCAACGTAGGATGGGTATTTTTTCGTTTAATCTGTCTAGTAGTAGTTTATTTCTAGTTCAGAATATAATGGTGCATAGAAAAACCACAAACTCTAACTAAAATAGAATGAAATTCAAAATAAATGAGAATAGTCATGGCTAAAATAAAATTCATAAGAACCCTTAAATATACTATTGTAATCAATAAATTTAAATATTTAATCAATACATAGCCAACCATAATTGATATTGTAGTTATTACAATTACACCTAGTTCTATAAATATGTAGGTAGAGTACCATTATGATAATTTTGTTAGATTAAACATAAAACTGTATCTTACAAATATAAATATTCCAACTTTTTTAAGTTGTATTCGTACCTCATGTTCTAAGCAGAAGCGTCGTAACACGAAAAAGTTTGTTTCACGAGGTATACAGTACAGTTTAATTTAAAAGGCTACTTTTCTACTCTTGTAAAAATCAGTTAAAATTGTATATTTATAAATAAAACTAAAAGTGATTGCTGACTTTCTAAAAAACATAGACCTGGTTTCCTACTTCAGTACATGTACATTCTAAAAAATTACGGGTAGTCTATGACAATTGACATTTCTTCTTTATTTTTTCTTCTTTATTTTTTGGCGCCGGCACGGTTTGTGCATTAGCGAGCGTCAAGTAATAAGATTTTTATAATTCGCCGTTTTAATTATTTACAGTTTATGAATAATAAAAAAACGAAGGAAACTAATCGCGACATAACATAAATAAAAAGAATTAAATTTACAAATGAGATGATATGTGATGAAATGTGATCTCAGTAAAATGGTGGTCATATACTAAGCCGTTTTCAGTGGACTTTTTAGATGATCCCGGGAAGCTACATCCAGCGGCTTTGTTTCATTTTCCCACAATATCGTGCACTTTCACAGATTATACACAGTTAATGAACCACGGTTATTATGCATTTAAATCTGAATAAACACTAAATAGACAAAATAAAACAAATCACACAACTTCACTCCTCGCGTTCGCGCCAAAAAGTCGTCTGTGACATTTAATATTGTGATTTGTTAGTGTTTAATATATGCTGATTTTGTATTGAGTAAAATGTATTTTAACTACTCTTTAAAGTTATATGAACCATTAAGTACCTGTATAATATATTTCAAAGAGACATATCCTGTTTTAACTCCACGAATACCTTCGTTTAACTCTCATATTCTTTCTAATATTGCATAATCGTTTCATGGTATTCTGCACAACGAGCCATTGTTCTAATTCTAATCTTATTTGTAGTGTTTTATTTAAACTAAAAAAAGGTAAACAGGACTGCCAATAAGCCGAACTTTTCTTGGGCCACTCAATTTTTAAAAAGGTAAATAGGACTGCCAATAAGCCGAACTTTTCTTGGGCCACTCAATTTTTACAAAATAAAAAGATTCGTCTTTTCAAACCGCAAATATAAAATGTATAACGTAAAATGTAACACAGGTGGGTGAAGATAAGTAATCGTGTCTTTACTTTCGATTAATCAGAATTTAATGACCTTTTTTATGTCAAGATTAAATCGCCAGAGTTTTATCAGTTCGTTGTAGACATGAAGGAATGAAGGATAGACCTAAGAAGTATCATATTGTACAGGGAGCAAGTTGAAAACGTGTCCATTTGTAAACAGCAAGCTATTGTTCGAAGACTCATTGAAATAGCGCTAGTGTAGAAAGTGGAATAAAGCACTTTTAAATAGAATGAAGTGTAGGTACTGGATTGAAATGAAGTGTGGTAGTTTATGGCGCTGCTTTTTTATATCTTTGCACATGACATGCTGCTATGGCACCGCGTTAACTTCCTTCCTTTCGGCATACTCTTTTTAATATACTGAGATGGTGCTTCTTATTTTTATCTTCCTTATAGTGGGAAAATAAAATAAAAGTTGGACATGGTTTTTCGGTTTAATTCTAAAAGTTCATTAAGCTCTCATTAAATTAAGTTCTATTGACTGAGAGACTACTTGAATTAATTTCATGGAAAATCTACAGTTTTGGTTCATCTCACTGGATTTTTATTCCGTTTATTATTATATTCAATAATCCATTTTATTTTATTTCTGCAATATTTGACCAATAATCCAAAAGACATGTTTTTAAACTTTTTTTAAATGAAGTGTATGTGTTTTGTTCCGTTTGCCTATCTAAAACAAGGATATAAAAATTGTGTATCAAACACAGTAGACAAAAAAAAATCAACAATTAATTTGAAATTTGAAATTATGAATAAAATATGCCGAATATGTTTAGAAGAAGGCGTACTTACTTCAATATTTGCCAAAAATTTCAACATTTCGCTGTGTGACATGATAGAATATTGTTGTAACGTAAAGGTATACTGATCTTATGATTATTTATCAAAAAAAAAAACGTAAATTCAAATTATCGTCAAGATACAATTGATTTAACAACTGTTTCTATCAATATGAATATTTATTATAAGAGAGATTTAAACTTTCATAACAAATGTAATATGCTTCATTTAACCGAAACCTACCTATCGTCATCTTTTTCTCCACCTTATCCCACTATGTGGGGTCGGCACAGCGAATTTTTCTATTCCATTCTCTTCTATTAGCCGTCATCTCAACACCCACTCCTCTCTCTCTCATATTATTGTTCACACACTCCTTCCAGGTCTTCTTCGATCGACCTCTTCCCCCTTTACCTTGCACTACCATTTCCATACATCTGCTCGACATATGCATCTTCTCTCTACGCATCACATGTCCATACCACGCTAACCGTCCGCTCTTTAATTTGTTAATTACCGGGGCTACTTTCACACTTCCTCTGATAACTTATTCAGTTGACCTACCTATGTTGTCATATTTTGTAATCCATAAATATATTTTTTTCAAATTGAGTAAGGAGCATTTTCAGTTCTGTTGTTATGCCAAATAAAAACCCATATATTGTAGGCTAGTTCTTCTTCTTGTTCTTATCAGTCGTACACTAATGGCAGAATGGTCGTTGTTATCTATTGTCTTATTCCTTGGTTGCGGCTTTTGCGAGGAGAAGCAGATGCTAGTTACACAACAACTTATTTTACCTCTACTTGCTAAACTGTACTAGTGATTTTTGGGTTACTTTTATATTTTATTCATATCTCATTTACAAACAACGAGACCGAGATGACAATCATTTCTCTTTTTTTTTATTTATTTTTTATTGCCTTTGTAGGCAGACGGTCATACGGCCCACCTGATGGTGAGTGGTTACCGTCGCCCATGGACTTCAGCAATGCCAGGGGCAGAGCCAAGCCGCTGCCTACCGAAAAGAACAGACTCTAGACAGAGTGAGCTTGTTTGTCATGTAGATGATGTAAGATGATATTACCATTGCTTTACTTTGAAAAATTTACAGATAAGCAGAGATGATGGCTTGCCAGAGTTTATGTGCAGTAACTGCATGTACAAGTTAGGTGTGGCTTATCATTTCAAACAGACCTGCGAAAGTGCTGATATACGATTGAGGCAATATATCGGACTGAGAATACCGAGCAAGTAAGGATATTGCATTAAATCCTTCCTTGAAATTAGTCCCTTATAACAACTAAATCACATTTATGAGAAATTTTTATTTATTTACTTTATTGCTTAGATGGGTGGACGAGCTCACAGCCCACCTGGTATTAAGTGGTTACTGGAGCCCATAGACATCTACAACGTAAATGAGCAACCCACCTATTTTTTGGATATAAGTTCTATGGTTTCAAGTATAGTTACTCGGTACTGGGATACTGTGATTTTATTTCTATAGTGTCTTTAAAATATTTAATTAATATTTTCAGAACTGTAGATGCGATGGTGATGACAGATCCAATTGTGAGTATCTACATAATTTCTGTGATTTAATGTAACATGCTGGAGTACTAATATAATTTATGACTTTTTTTTTCAGGCTCCAACATATTCAACAATAATCAAAAGATGGTAATAACAATATAACTAAAAACTAACTATTACTGTGAAGTTAGAAAAAAAAGATTAAGCTCAATACAAATATTAAAAATGAACTAAACATGTATGGTAACTTGACTCCACGTGTGCTGTCAGCTCATCCACCCATCTGAGTAATAAAAAAATAATAAATAAAAATATTTTGAAGGCTAACCTAACTATAAACTACGCAATTATTATTAAATCATCAATTATTAACTATGCTATATAGTTACAATGATCATTACAAACTGAGTTTTCATCGACCACTGTGTACACACATATTACGTCTCTATGCATGTCTCCGTGAATATAGGTAGATAGCAGCTTGGCTCTGTCGCTGGCATTGCTGATGTCCATGGGCTACGATATCCACCCATCAGCAGGTAGGCCGCATGCTCGTCTGCCTAAATGGGCAATAAAGAAAATTAATTCTTTAATCTAAAGATTTAAGTTTAATTTTCAGTAAATGTAAATTATCACAACAGAAACGAACACTATCGAATTACAAACGTAAACCGGAGTCAGAGAAGTTGAAACGTGGACCTAAACCGAAACCAAAGTCCGTACACTCTTGCTACCAGTGCAACAAACAGTTTAGGTGTCAAGCTCAATTGGAAATGCATATAAGGTATGCCACAAAATTCTTTACATACTTCTATAACTTATATCGCCAGTCTAGCCTTCTATATCCGAACTATATTGCTCTATTCAATAAAATGCAGTCTACATCAAACGTTAAAGAGTTCAAATGTTAATGAGAAATACACATTTTTAATAAGATATGCTTTCAGCTCACTTGAATCTATATCCCATTAATTGAATCAAAATCATATTTATCTTGATCAGTATCAAGTATATCTGATATACTGTATATCAGTGTATTCAAAGAGCATCTCTGTCCAGGGCCGGATTTAAACTTAATGCCGCTCCTGGCTACCGGAAAAAATCCGCCCCAATACTGAAATTTTACTGAAACTTATAATTTATATTATATTTTCTTCTTCAACCTTACTAGAAATTTTATTATAATATGTTATATATTTCAAAAACATAAATAAATATATGTGTTTTGGCACTAAGGCTAACTCATAATTATACATGGAAAAAAAAAAAAAACTTTAATTCTGTAAAATTAAAAAAAATCGATTATTATTTTGAATCTCCAAGGAAATAAATTGATTAAATCATTTTGATTATTAATTTTACCAAAAGTGCCAATATTATAATTCACAAATAACGGATGAATTTAATTTCTTGAAAATCAATTAAACAGAAAATTATTATTTATAGAATTAATTCATTACATAGAGCAATCCTGATAAGAAAAAAAAAGTCATTTTCAAAATTTTGCCGCCCTGAGCACTACTCCCCTAGTGTAAATTCACCACTGTCTCTATCTCTTTTTATTAACGAAGGAAGAAATACTGGTTTCATTAAGATAGGATCAGCAGTAAGCAGGATCACCAGTAAAAGTTATGACATTTTTTCTTTAAATCTCACAATTAATATAACAGTTCTTGATAACGTTTTGACCAATTTCATTTGGTCGAAAAAACAAAGATCGTACGGTAAAGTTTCACTGAACAGAATCAACTTAATATAGGACTACATATTAGCAAAAATAAGTTTTTTTTTTAATTCTCTCCCAGTCTTGAAAATTTTAATTTAAAGAAATCTTAACCTAAAATATCCTTTCGTTACAGAACACACACCGGTGACCGTCCGTTCGTTTGCATGTATTGCCCTCGTCGTTTTACACAGAAACACAACCTGACGATACATCTTCGTATCCACACGGGGGAGAAACCATTCCAGTGCGAAGTGTGCAGGTGAATAAACATTATTTAGACATTCAAGTTCCGCAACATACGATTATAGGGAGTAGTATTAGAGATTGCCAGGCGATCTGTGTGCTCAGTGCGAGTTTCTTAACGTTCTCGATAGCGTAAAAGTTAGCTCATATTTGTATGGAATGGGATTGTTTGCCTACGTTTGCCGCTAGGGGCGCTGTTCCAACTACATACAAATTCGAATTAACTTTTACGCTATCGAGAACGTTAAAAAACTCGCACTAAGCACACTGATCCTCTGTACTAAAGACTAAACAAGATTTTGTCGTCATGTTCTAGAACAGGGTTGTCCAAACTACATACCTTTGCGGGCTAATTAAATTTATTACAAAACTTATTTATTTCGAGTAAAAAAGTACAGGGTAATAAATACTTTTTTTTTTATTCCTTTGAGATGAGTGGACGAGCTTACAGCCCACCTGGTGTTAAGTGGTAACTGGAGCCCATAGACATCTACAACGGAAATGCGCCACGCACCTATAAGTTCTAAGGTCTCAGTACAGTTACAACGGCTGCCCCACCCTTCAAACCGAAACGCATTACTGCTTCACGGCAGAAATAGGCAGGGAGGTGGTACCTACCCGTGCGGACTCACAAGAGGTCCTACCACCAGTAAATCCTTCCGGGAATTCCCCCACTAGTAGTAAAAGATAGCTTCACTTTTAAAAGATGTCATAGGAATGGAACGTTACAAGAAAAAAGACAAATTATACTAAAACCAAATATTGATTAAATGTTTAGATGAACAATTTTAATTTCGAATTCCAAACTATTTGTATCCAAAATTTTTTTCTGATCAAAACATGCGTCGCGGGCCGTTCACTGAGCAGCCATGTCCTAGAAGATAACACACTCGGTATACTCGTGTCAAGCGCTACTACTATGCCGGTGTTCAAATCGAAAAGTAGCTGCCAATTATTGTTTTAAGGAAATATGTACTAAACAGTTGTTCACGGATGCGCATTAAAAGTTTATCGTGCCTTCCAGTATGAGTGGTGGGACAGCTTTTATTCTTATTTTGATACACATTACAATCGAGTTTTGGACTTCATGTCTCAAGGTGGATGTCGGCATTCACGTTGGGAATATTTATAGGCTTTGTTAACGTTTGTAATATAACAAATCTATCGTGGGCTAGTCCACTAATCAATGTATTTAAAAAAGAAACGCTCTTAATAAATTTAATTATTTTGTAAAATTACAATATTTTCAGTAAACGATTTTCTGCACAAGGAAATTTACAAGCCCATCTGAAAATTCACACAGGACAGCGCGATCATGTGAGTCACTTTTCATCGTGTATCAACCACCAATCGGCTATGATTTTTTTACACTGCTTACCTTTCCAATATTTTAATTAACCTATCATTGTGTAGGTACTTTAATCGAAAATATGAATTTCAGGAATGTACGATATGCCACAAACAGTTCATCACATCCAGTGAATTAACGAGACACATTAGCAAACATCGCGGCGTTAAAAATTTTAAGTGCGATTTGTGCGAATCTGCCTACATACATTCAAGAGATCTTGTGAGTAATTTTACATGGCAGTCCAAAATTACGTTGACAAAATAAAAATTTTAAATATAATAGAATGTCCGAAGTTGGCTTTATTTCTCGCCAATTTGCATACACATTTTAACAAAACAGTCGGCGTAGGTAGGTACCCCCACTCTGCCTATTTCTGCAGTGAAGCAGTAATGCGTTTCGGTTTGAAGAGTGGGGCAGCCATTGTAACTATACTGAGATCTTAGAACTTATATCTCAAGGTGAGTGGCGCATTTACGTTGTAGATGTCTATGGGCACCAGTAACCACTTAACACCAGGTGGGCTGTGAGCTCGTCCACCCTTCTAAGCAATAAATAATGGGGAAAAAAAAAGGTGAAAATTTTTAAATGCTCTCTATGTAACAGGGCCAAGGAGCATTACTTTCTTTGCACATTTAAGATAATTGAGATTGAAATTACATGCATCTAGAATAGATTGTGTTGGTACCTAATTAAAATATGTTCATAATTATCCCTAATTAAATATTTTTTGTCCATGTTCCACTTTCGTGTTTACCAAATGGATTTATTAGAAGTACTTTAATATATATATGTATACAAATGAAGCAACCGATAAAATTGTTTCTCAATGTTTTTTGGACCTGTTTGTCTAGTATGTAGCTAATTGGTTATTTCATTAATATTGTATTCATTTATCTTTGCAAAAAGAACCGGATCAAAAGTAAAAAAATATATACTTAATAAAAATTATTTTTCAGAAACTGCACAAATTGAAGAAACATCAAGTCATGTCATGTCATGCCAGTCAAAAAAATAAAATACAAACAGAAGCGTTTAATAACAGTAATACCATAGACATAATCGGTATAGATGTAGGCAAAGAACCAGCCATACCCATTAAGGAATCGAATAATATAAACCAAATAACTCAAATTGGAGAGAAACCTACGACAAACATACTTCAGATACTGGAACATAATCAGTCATTAATATCCTACAATGAGAAACATGTTAAAGATATGTATTCACAGTATAAAGTGCTTGAGAATCACAACTGTGCAATTTGTGGTGAAGGATTTAACTATATAACAGCATTAGCACAGCATTATCTACATCAGCATAAAGGTTATGATCCTTTACAAAAGAATTATGGTCCAACATAAGATATTTTCCAAATGAATTTTCATGTGAAAGCTTAGATCTGTTTACACACTGTATTCTGCTTTAGCTATTAAAAATGATGCGACCCTAAAGAATATTGTTTCTTTTTAAATTAATATACTTGAGTTCTTAATTTAAAAATAAATATTTTCTACTTAACTTGCAACGTGATAAATGTTCAGGTATTTAATATTGTTCATTACTTTATTACAAAAGTGTTAATTCAATAAAAATAAATGAAACCATTCAAATAAATTACTGAAAACTATTTATTTTACATTTTTTTACATTTCACAACAACTCAATATTTAATTTACATTTAACGAACTGGGATCCAAGGTTCAAACAAGTCACCAATCTTCTTACGTTCTGCAAAAGAAATATTGATTGTGCTTAGTCACATCTAAGAACATTGGCAAATGTCATTGTCCTATTGGATAAGAGTTTATATTTATTTATTTCATTTATGGGTTAGGTAACATCCTTGAGGTTAATGAGTGGCCAAAACTTAAGAAAGATAATGAACATAATTCTTACCACTGATGTAAGTGTAGCACCAGTGAAAGTTAATAATCTTACAGATGGTAATATAGGTTTTTTAACACTACCCAACAATACTAGTAACAAAGACTGATATATTTAAACAATATTGACAAAAAAAAATCATATTGTCAAGAAGTGACCATAACAATTGCTTAAATATTATTTATTACAATAATACACATTAGTTTCTTCAGTTTACATGATCCATAGATGTCTTTAGAAAAGTATTTTAATAGTTTAATCACACATTTATTGTACCTGTTTGTAATATTGTCTCAATTATAAAAAATCAGATAGTAGTTATCATAATATTCAATGTCAACAGAAAGCACTAGAGTTGTGGTTGACCAGTAAACATGTAGAGTATTTGAAATATATGAATTAATTAGTGCGAGAATCTCAAAAGTAATTTTAATTGTCGTAATAATAAGATTAATTATTGGTATTATGCCAATTAGAAACAAAAGTTTTGACTGTAATGAAATGGGGAAGGGAAAAATTGTATGTTACATAAAACATTGCATACCTAGAAAATTGCTAATGGGCTCATAAAACCTATCATGGTCAAAGGGTTTATTGAGTGTTAAAGAATAGCTGCTTGTATGGCTATCCTCCAAAAGTTAACAAGAAATACTTTTTAAACAGTCAAAATACACCTCATGATAATGCCAACATACATTTTATTTATAGTTAATGTCAAATCATTTATGTGATAAGTCGCTCAATTGTATATGCAAAGATATCCAAAACAAACAAAAAAATCTAGTAAATCAAAATATATGGTATTGTGTACAATTGGAATACTAGATATTCATAGCAGAGAGAATTTCGCTTTACCAAAAGACATTTTAACTTCGATGACATTGTAAAAAAACTGAAGGAGTTTGAATGAGAGTACAAGACTAACATTTAAGCACAATATACAACTGATAACAAAATATTTTTAAATATCATACATACCAGGAACAGGGAAATCATCTGGGTGTAATTCTATATAATGCCTGTATACTGCATCCTTTTCTGCTAAATATTCATTCCGTTTATGCTGTACATAACTTAAAATGCTGACCCAACCTCCAGTTGCAATTATATGTTTTTGGATACCTATTAAAATAAAACAGCAAGAACAATAATATTCAAGTGGAATGTTGCCTAATTTTTAAGATTATTTCTTGACTATATGAAAGGTTATTCCAGGTTCTTTTTAATGGTATATTTGTATATTAAGTTTAGTCCTATTCCTCATTCATATTTAAAAACACATTTGTTATTGTTATGTAATTACTAACCGCTGAACACTGGCCGTTTAGTCTGGAAGTTTAGAAACATTCCTGTGCCAATACCAAACGTAACTCCTATTATTTCAGGCCAATATTTGTTTAGAAAAGGTTTTTGTCGTCCTTCATCTCCTAATTTTAGGAGTTCTTGGGCAGACATATGCAGCGACATTTTCGAAATTGGATATCTACTCTGGTTTCTTCAGAATCAGATTCGAATTTCAGAATTTTCAATGTAGGTAGGTAATAATGTTTTTTTTTTGTACAATTTTTCCTTGTTAGGAAAGGCTAGGGGATCTAAGCCCATGCAGCCTTGTCTGCTCTATATATTCTCTGAAATGGAGGGTAATAATGTTATGTTTTTTTAAGGAAATTTATGACCTGGTAATTAAGACCTTTAAGTCATGTCTTATTTTAATATATTTCTTAATTTTATGAAAAATGATAACATGGAGTGAAATGAAATGAAAATGATTAATTTGGGACATTAATCAACTGGGATGAAATTAAATGAGATGAGATTAAATGGGATGAAATATAGTCTCAGTAAAATGGTGGTCATTTACGGCTCAGTGAATTTAGCCCCTTTTTTTTATATTCAGAATTTTTTATTTTTTATTATTTGTTAGTCGTTTGTTCGTTAATGTTCGAATGTAAACATTGTTTGTTCGTCTTTTATTTATTTATAATTAATTAAACAATTGATCACCGTTATGTTGGCCTCCTTTACTAGATATCTTTATTTTTATCACTCAGATTAATTGATTTTGATCAATTATCGTTTGTTCGACGACTATTGGTGATTGTTCGATCATAAAAACAATATAAAAACAATAAAACATAAATTCCCAATTATTAATTCTTTTATATATAATAAGCAAACCTTCACCTCACGCCTACATTGCGCATGCACCGGTTTTGTCGGTAAAGAAAATTCGAAAATCAAATAAGGGGGGCCAAATTCAGTGAGCCGTCTCTGGATCTCAACCACAAGACAAGTCGTAATCACTACATAGTGTACAACAAAGTCGCTTTCTCTGCCCCTATATCTGTCTGTCCCTATGTATGCTTAAATCTTTAAAACTACGCAACGGATTTTGATGATAGATAGAGTGATTGAAGAGGAAGGTTTATGTGTTTAATAACATCCATTAAATAGTGGACAAATCAATAATAAATTACAGTTTCCGAAGCGAAGCGAGGGCGGGTCGCTAGTCATTAATATAATGGTCAACAAATTATATATTAGTCAGCATAAATTAAACACGTCACTCCCAGTAAAGGTGTAACAAAGAGAAAAGCAACTTGTTTGAACAACGACTTCTTGAAAACTTTATTCTGAATTTGGTGGAATTTTTTGCTAAGAAATTCGCAGAAATAAAAACTAAAAAATCCATTGAAGTATTATTAAATTCCCATTAATAAACAGAGACAAAATTCAATTTCATCTCATTCTAGGTTTTCACAATTTTAAAGTAATAAGCACCTTTTTTAAGCCTTGTTTCATGATTATTCTTCATCATGTGTTGGCTTAGTTCTCTAATAGAATAGTTTATAGTCTATTCATTAACACAGATTTTCTCTTGAATTAAATGTCGCAATTTAGATTAAAATCTTTCTTTTAAATTAACTTTTATTAATTGTTGTATTCAGATAAGCTAAGTCATAAGCTATAAAATATTAAATTTCTTCGATATTCAAGAATCGTAGATATAATTAAAACTACTTTTACGTTAATCTCCCCTTTTTATTGTCCTTATATTATTTTCGATATTTCGAATAGGTTATTAGTTATTACAGAGAGAGAGAAAGAGAAAAATAATAAATACACTTTATTGCACACTAAAACACAATTAACATTAAAAAAACAGTCAACGAGCAGATACATTTGTACAATAGGCGGCCTTATCGCTAAAAGCGACCTCTTCCATACACCATTTAATTTACAGAAATTTTGGAAAAGAGATATAGCAATATAGAGAGATATAACAAAGCTTCAGTGTCATAAATAAATAAAAACTAGCCCTCATACAGAGTACTAGTATCAATTTTTCTAGGGCTTTTTGGCACGAACGCTAGGTGCGAATTTCTGCGAAGGATTTTCTTTTGTTGATTGAGTGTTTCTTCAGCCTTCAGCGCGTAATAACGGGGGTTTATTAACTGATTAGTATCTGTGAAAGTGCATTAATGTGGAAAAATTAAAGATTCGCTGGACGTAGAAAGTGCACAAATGTGGGAAAATGTAGCAAAGCTGCTGAACGTAATTCTCGGGATCCTCCAAAAAGTCCACTGAAAAAGTCTTAGTAACACCACCATTTTACTGAGATAATATTTCATCCCATATCGTCTGATCTCATTTCATTTCATTCCATGTTTCATATTAAACTTCATTTCATTTTTCTTATAAAAAGTATTTGGAAGACTAGCGGCCCGCTCCCGTCAACAAAAATTTCAATGATATTTGACGTTGTTTTATTTTTTAAATAAAAGAACATAGCTGTAATGGTTAGACATATGCTGTCACGACACTTTTTGTAAATAATAATGTGTTCTACAAAGTCGTAGTACATTATTTTATTCTATCGTCAATAGTTTTCACAGGGCACGCGATGTAAAGAATATTTTAAGTATTTTTTTTACACATTGTGTTACATTATTGGAGTTTTAGTAAGGATCCCTAATTTTTTTCAAAGAAGATTATAGTCTATGTCACTCGGGAATAGTGTAGCTTTCAAATAGTAAAATAATTTTTCAAATCGGTTCAGTAGTTTCGGAGCCTATTCAATACAAACAAACAAACAAATCTTTTCTCTTTATAATAATATAAATGAATAAATAAATTAGTATAGAAGTATAGATTAAGCTGTATGGTATGATATATTTGCCTTTCCAGTTTGAAAAATAAAAATAATTTTACTTTTTAAACCTAAACTTTATATGTTATGGCTGATGCACAAACCCTGCAGGCCAAGAAATGGGAGAAAAAAAAAACTTTATATGTCGTACTGTCAAAAAAACGTGGTGTTATTCATAAATCTTGATATTTTTTTTGTTTATTTGTGTGTTAATTATGGATATAACAGTGTAAATTGCAATGTGCGCGGATTTTAATAATAATACTAAATAATACTAAAATCGAAAACCCTTAGTATTGATGCATTTTGAAATAACAAATAAAATTTATAAGAATTGGGTGCACATCGTACATACTGTTCGTGTTCGTAGGGTGTATCGTTACTGTATCGGTTTATGTGTCAATTAAAATAGAAGTTAAGGTTTTTTTGAATACAAATATTTTAAATCATTATAATGGTAAGAACCTGGGATGTTTTCGGTAAAAAATAATGCTATTAAATAAATTTGCAAACACATAGTAGTCATAACCTTATTATCGATTTATTTTAGGGCAAACAACGAAAAACGAGGAAAATAGTAGAGAAAAGATTTGCAAAAATGAAAAAAATGATCAGCCCCAGCGACTCTCGGATAAAAAATAGCGAAAGGAGTGAACCAAAGAAGAAGAAACCTGTAGATCCTCATCTAATTAAAATACGTGAAGTCCCACAAACAAGTTCCGCGCTATTCTTCCAATACAACATGCAGCTAGGACCGCCATATCATGTACTTATTGACACAAACTTCATCAACTTCTCAATAAAGAACAAACTTGATATCATACAAAATATGATGGATTGTCTTTATGCTAAATGCATACCATATATTACTGATTGTGTCCTTGGAGAATTGGAAAAACTTGGAAGAAAGTATAGAGTAGCTTTAAGGATTATAAAGGACCCACGATTTGAGAGGATAGCCTGTCTTCATAAAGGTACATATGCTGATGATTGTTTAGTACAAAGAGTTACACAACATAAATGTTATATTGTAGCTACAAATGACAAAGATTTGAAACGAAGAATTAGAAAAATACCAGGTGTTCCTATAATGTATGTTGCGGAACACAAGTATACAATAGAACGAATGCCGGATGCATATGGTGCTCCAAAAGGAGCAATTTAACATTAGATATTTAATTTATTAAATTTTCTATTATACATTTTTGTATTGATTCTAATGGTTTAAAAATATTAACCCACTGTTACTGCAAAGCAGCCACATACTCACAGACTCAAATGCATTTAAATGTAAGTTCAATAATGGTTCAAATTGTTATTTTTAAGCCTATATCTACATTATACATCTACAGTGCTTTGTTAAGTGTTCTCTAGTGAGAATTTTTCTAACTTTACCTATCTAGAAGACTTTAATCAACACTAGCTGACCTGGCAGACTTCGTATTGCCTCAATCGATAAATAAAAGACCTAAGCTTTTGTATAAAAACAACCAAAGGAATCCTTTCAACGGGGGACACATCAAAGGAAAAACAAAATTGTTATTTTTATTTAATTCCAAGCATTTTCATATTTATCTACCTTTTAAACCTTCTTTGGACACATAATTAAAGACCAAAATTAGCCAAATCGGTCCAGCCGGTCTTGAGTTTTAGCGAGACTAATGAACAGCAATTCATTTTTATATATATGGATAGATTACAGCGTTTGGCTTTGAATGGTACAACAGCCAACATACAATACAACTCAATCGTCTATTTTGTGTCTTAAGCATTCATGTTGTGATGTGTATAAGCCAGGTGGGCTACAGGGTTACTTATCAATGCAATAAAATAATTTAAAAAGCCTGTAACAAACTATTACTGTATGGTACTTCATGGCACTGCCCGTGCCTATTGGCCCTGGCAATTACATATCATCATGGGTTGCAAGTATCTAGTATCTCCTACCACAAAACATAAAAAACTATATATGGACTGCCTTTATAATAATGTGCCAGGCCTAACATATTTAAACAGAATGTTTAGGTCAGATAAAAGCTCAATTTGTCGTATTGCATGTTAATTTATTTTTCTGAAGTAAGTTTCAGTGGTGTACATACATTTAAATCTAACATTGAAAATGTCCTTATCTAGAATACAACCAATCTGTTTCTTTTACTTTTCTGATTTAAACTTTTTGTGAAAATATATACAAAAAAAAACAGTTCATTGTTTACTCTCTGTAACAATAACAATACTATATGGTTGTATTCATTGCACCAGGAGAACCAACCACATCAATTATTTCACCAACAGGTTTAGAGTCACTGTCCACACTTGTGTTGCATATTGATGCTGGAATCGTAAGGGTCTGAAATCATGTTGTTAAGATTGTTAAACATTTAGTCATTCTAAGCAAAAAAAAAGTTAAAAACAATCACTAATTTGGCAATTACGTTAAAAGCTTACAAATTTCATATAGAAGTCACATTTTTACCTTTCCCGGGTTTAAAGCTTCATATTGGTGGCGCAAAGCTTGCAATTCAAACTCACAGGATGCTAAAGCATTTTTCAGGTCTATGGACAAAGCCAGATCAGAGCGGAGCTCATTGAAATGTTTGCAGATAGGTTCAGTTGGAGTTGGTGCTATATCTGTAAATATATAAAAATGTGTAAGAAAATATTTTTGCTTGGTAGTATTTAACAGTTTGTTAGTTGTTAAGTTTAATGCAGCAATACAGTGCTTTTTTAATTGATTCAAAATTAGGTGGGCAGGTGATTTTATGGCCAGTCTCATTGGTAAGTGGTTACAGGGCCCATATATACATTCAAACGTGAATCTGACCTCTCATTTAGAGATGTCCTTCAAAAAAAGTGGGCAAAGTAGTGCTGTAAAAATATGAATTGACTTTTCATTTCTACTTTCATTATGAACATGCATTGTTAGTGCACATTGAATAATCTCAATTATATGTCTGTTAATTAAGATTTTTGTAGTGTCCATGATTTCCTCCACTAATTTATATACATATAAGGCCCCTATAAGTTGTGGTGGAAAAATGACTAATTTTTTTTTTTAGATGGTTGGACGAGCTCACAGCCCACCTGGTGTTAAGTGGTTACTGGAGCCCATAGACATCTACAACGTAAATGCGCCACCCACCTTGAGATATAAGTTCTAAGGTCTCAGTATAGTTACAACGGCTGCCCCACCCTTCAAGCCGAAACGCATTATTGCTTCACGGCAGAAATAGGCAGGGTGGTGGTACCTACCCGTGCGGACTCACAAGAGGTCCTACCATCAGTAATTTTATGTATCACACTGACCTATGTTCATAAGTCGAAGCTCTTGTTCAATAGCTTTTGTTTTACGTTGTCCTACTCCAGGAGGCAGTTTCATGCGTTGAGAGCGTAGCCATACACCAGTTCCTCGAGCCTCCGGAAACTTTATTCCTGACCACTCCACTGTCTGTTCAATACAACATCGTACATACATTATATAATACTGCCAATCCCTGACTGTTAAATTATAACTAGAAAGTTGTTTGTTTGTAGACCAGATATTTATCAAAGCTCATTTATATAATGTATTATTAATTGACAAAACATTCATTATATTCTTAAAACGTNCACCAGTTCCTCGAGCCTCCGGAAACTTTATTCCTGACCACTCCACTGTCTGTTCAATACAACATCGTACATACATTATATAATACTGCCAATCCCTGACTGTTAAATTATAACTAGAAAGTTGTTTGTTTGTAGACCAGATATTTATCAAAGCTCATTTATATAATGTATTATTAATTGACAAAACATTCATTATATTCTTAAAACGTAATATTGTGATGAACTCAGTTAGGTTTTGGTATTTATTGCATAGAAAAGTTAAAGAGCATATGGTGTACCTGGTGTCAAATTGTTAGCTCACCTCCCATCTTAAGATATGCAGTCTAAATTGTACAGTATAACAACTGTCCTATAAATTGTTAACTAAGTATAATTACCACATTTTCCACAGCACGCATGGGTCTTTGTTGTGTGGTTATCTTCTTCTTATGTAATTTCCGATCATGCCTCCTCATGTTGGCAGCCATACTTGAGGGTGTTCCTGGTGGCTCTGTGTTATGGTTTGTCGGAGTTGATGGGGTAATAGTGCCGCTGTCTGCTCTTGATATAAGTTTTTGTAAATCTTGAGTTTTCCTTTCCCTTTCCCGTTTCCTGGCTTCGATTTTTTTCAGTTCGGCTAGCAGCATTTGCTCTTCATCAATCTTTAAGCATAAGATACTAAACGGTTTCATTTGGTATTGACTAACCTAATTAGTAGATATGGAATTGTGAAGCTAATTGCATTATATTATTTTTCACTTCTTTTTTTTTTCCTACTTATCTGAGAGCCTTGAGAGGCTACTTCAGCGTAACCTTAACTAGTAGGTGAGCTCACGGGGCTCAAACCTGGCGACGTTGCTAACACGAACCCTAGCAAGAGTCGTGCTTCGCAGAATCTACCACCGGATCGGAAACGCGACCCACTGAAAAGATCCGGCGAGAAACTCAGTGGGCTGTGTCTGAGGGTTAAACCCAATTTTTTCCCACTATTCCAATAATATTATGGGGTTATGTGTTTGTATATAATATATTTGAGAAATGACCTGTTCTTGAGTGCGATCAAATAGTCTTCTCAGTTGTTCCTTTCTCTTTCGTTCATGTTCAGCATCGTAATGATAGACGCGTTTTTCGCCATTCACCATTGTAACTGTGTTTGACCAGGGATTAGTCTTAACCTGAAACATGTTTTAGTATCTGCAAAATTATGTTTAATTTCTTTAATGATAAGATTTAGTTTTGGCTGCGACCATCTTGTACCACTCATATTTTAAATGGCATTTATTATTGAATACATAACTTGACATACATTGAGGGATTATTATGGTTGTGACGATTAACATTTTGGTGACAGATCTGTTTAAGACCAGTCCTCCAGGGTGCCAGTTATAAAAAAATAAAAAACCAATAATAATACTCACCTTACTCAGAATAGAGCAGATATTATAATAACGTTCCTTCAAATCTTCTACACTTCGATCTCTGAATGCAGCTCTGTCCCATCGATCATGTATTACAATAAATCGTAAATCAAAACGTTGGCATAAATCCATCAGATGATCAGTTTCTGCTTGACTCCAATCTTCAGATTTTAAGTATTGGTTATATTCGGACTCAGAATAAGATGGTATTGACACTTGCTATAAAAAATAATAATGATATTTTTACTTTTTCAATCTTGCTAAGAATTCATTAATATGTGCATTTTCATTTAATTTGTCTTAATTTATTAATTTATTTGTAATTTTATGTCACTGCATAGAGCAGAGTAGAAAGTGACTTCATAATAGTAAAACTCAACTTTGACAGTCAACCCCAACTCACAGTGGCTCAATCTCTAGAATTGAGATATGTCATTTTGCATTGAAAGTTTTTATTTCTTTGAATAAAACATTCTGAGAATAATCATCAGTTAGAGAAATGTTCAGTTAGATTTTTAATGAACGTTCTGAAATACAAGATTTAGATCACTCATATTAGAAAGAAGAGGCTATGGATTGGGGGAGGCCTATGTCAAGCAGTGGACTGCCGCAGGCTGATGATGATGATGATGATATTAGAAAGGCAAATCAGGTCTTTTGACTTAAAAGGAGGGTTCACTTAAATAAATGACATTCATATGAATTATAATTTTAATATTTTAATATATCAATAAATTGCTACTAACACGGGTATGAATGATAAAAAAATTCTATATTTATACCTTATTGAATTGTGCAAAAGGGTATTCCTTAGCTTCATCTGATGCCCTCTTCCAGTGGTGGAAAACAGCATTGTCTTTACGTGCAGGATTAGTAAATGGTGCCCATACCCATTTCCTGACTTTCCTCATGCCAAGCCTGGCTTTTGTCTGTTTGTATGCTTTTCCTAAAATATTTTTTTTGTCATATGTTTATATTTAAGAAATTAACTATCATACATCTTTAGAATCAATAGATTGCCAATTGAATGCATAACACTGAATGTTACAATGTAACTGTTGTCTTTAGTTTTCTAATTTCAATTTTTTTATATGAATTGCACTAAAATCAACACTTTTAACAGAACAATCAATGTTTGTCAAACGGAAGCCTTAAATTCAATATGGGCAGAATCATTTACCTTACAGAGTATAATTACTTTGCTAGCAACATAGCATCATTAAGGTAATACGAAGGTGTCTTCTATATATAGATTCTCAGCTAATAATACCACAAAAGTCAAGTTTGTTTTTTAAATAGCAGGGACAAAATACTGAATAACTTCCAATGATTCTGTGAAATACTAGTCATGGTTTAAGGATAAGACACTCAGTATACTTGTATTAAGCAATGTAACTATAGAAATGATCAAATTTCACATTTTTTTTTATAAAATACATCTTTTTTCCCCTGACTAACCATTGATAGCTGCAAAGCTTTTCAAATACAGGCAGCCTAGTAGGTAAGTACACGGGCTCAACTCGAGAGAAGCACTTAACACTGGCCCTAGCAAGAGCATTGCTTTGTAGAATTTATCACCAGATCGGAATCGGGACTCACTGAGAAGATCCATATTTAACACATATTCACAAAAGACTCTCATGATGGAGGAGTAACATTTTAATTTGTGTAAATAGTGGGAATAAAGTGTCTTGTGAGTCTTCAAGGGTAAGTACTGCATATTGTGTTTGCCCAAAAGCTGTAATATGTTCCAGTTTGTAGGGACAGCTTTTATACTGTATGATTGGAATATTGATCTCACAGATACAGGTGTAGCAGTATCATTCTGCAGTGATTTTAGTGTATGTAAACTACAAAAACAGATCTGTCAGTGGAAGAATAGGAAAGGTAATGATTAAAATATGATTTTACCCGTATCAGTAGGCAGTAACGGAGGTAATTCCTTATTGTCATTATAAAGTAATGCGAAAACCTCCCTATGCATTCCCTCGGGCCTCTTGACAGCTTTAGCGGTAACATATTTCTTTTTGTTCTTATCGCCATGTATAATACTGTCTCTGCTGATCTCTGTTGCCGGTTGTTCTATGTCTAATATATCAAGAATATCAGCCATTTTTGTATCAAATAATTTGTTTATAGAATCAGCAGTCTTACAATTCTTCTCGAACAACAAATTATACTGTAATTGATAAAATATAATTTTATATCATGAAGTACTTTTGTTTTTGGTATTTTTATTTTTATTGAGTTCGTATTATCATCATGTTCACTAAAAGTATTTTTATTTATCTAACTTAAATTAGTTTTATTCATACTAATTTTCGGAGTTACAAGCTACAACTCGCGACTTGACAGCTATCAAAAGATATTTGATGTCAAACAAATGTCAAAAATTATTTAGTGTCAACGAAAGTAAGAATATACAGCATAAATTTAAAAGTTGATTGATTTAACATTACTCACGGACATTCAATTTAAGTTGTGTTTGGCCTTGACTATGCCTCTGGTATTGTTGACGTCCTTTTTTTTCAATCATAAATTGGAGGATTACTGGTGGCCCGGAGGCCTTTCCAGTTTCACCAGGACAGGTGGGCGAGCAAAGGCTCAGCCAGGAGGGGGTGTTGACGTCCATGACAGTACCTACTCGTAATCAGGCGGGACGCATACTCGTGTTCCTACAAAGGCCATAAAAGTGAATTTTTGGAGTAGAATTAACGAGAACAATTCTTTATACTTTATCTATGCTTTTGTTCCTATATCAGGGTGGGTATGATCTATTGTATCCATCTTTTACTTTGTCATTTTATGAACGGTTTCTTGTCCGGGGATCATGAAATTTAGGTTATAATTTTGTACCTAACTCTGAACTGGAACTGGAAATAATACAGCCATCGTCTTTTTACCATCGCACCATCTGCCATTAATCAGAGCTATCATTCGATTCTAGAAATAATTCGCTTCTTGGCTTTTTCCAAGGGCTAACTTAAATTTCGTAGGTAAAAAATATGAAATAATATTGTTTCCTTCCTTTTTAGGTCCGGGGGCCGAACTTCCTATGAGGTCTTAGGGGGCGCGGAGTATGTGGGTCTGGCCCGCAAATGTTGGAGGAGATCGCGGTCTCAAGGGATGGCATTTAGGAACCTATCCACTAAACGACTCCTTTGCACTCTCGCCCAAGCTCGCCCGATCCCCCTCGAGGTCAGAACCCGGGTAGGATAGGGGGGTCACCTTAGTCAAAACGTTATTGTTTACTATTTAACATTTTTTTAAACTATTATAACAGCTCTCACTTGAATTGTAGAATTATTATGAAAAAAAAAAACAACTTTCAGTAAAAAAAATTCTTATTTATGTACTTAGAGGTTAAAGTGTAAATCTACGTGTGCAGTAGTCCTGAGTCATACTGCACGTAAGAGAAAAATATCGAAGAAAGTTCACAATAATCGTGTAGCAAAAAAAACCTACAAGCAATATGAATTTAAAGTTTAATTTCATATAAAAAAATATATATTTTATAACTGTCATTAATTATTTTGTTAATATCATTTGGGTTGTGTTATCCTGTCCAAAATCCGTCGCATTGCTAGTGGGCTGTCGAGTGGAACCTGAAAAAAAGCCAATTGAAATATTTTTTGTGGATGAGTAGACAAACCAGGAGTATCTGCTTTTCATGAATATTAAGTGCCTGCTTTTCGGGTAGAAATGACGTGCGCTCTCATATTCGCTCTACAACCGGAAAACTTTTCGAACGTTTCCTGTATATATTTCCCGTGATTGTAATGCTAAGAAATCTTGACATAACAGTCACGGGTATTGCGTTTGGGGACTGACCATAGATCATAATTACATTTAATATTTAAGAGGACTGACAGAAATGAAAATATTTGGGTCATTTAATTGAAAGTCGCTAGTTTGTAAAGACTATTTATAAATTACCGATTGACCAGCCGCGTTCATCCAATAGAATGACAATCTCGGAGTTTCCCTGAAATAGCCTTCTACTAATCTGTTAATTACTAAAGTTCGTCGAGGAGTAGTTTTGAATGCTTCCTGACCCGGCCATTGTAAATTATCTACCCACTCTAGTTGACCTGAAATCAAATAGTAAATAAAGACGTGTAAATTCCTTGAGCAGAACACAATGACAATGACATGATATCGCTATAGCGCTGGCACTTCATTCAATGGGGAACAGAAGAGTTGACTATTTTCAAATTTATCAGACTTTTACAACAAAACTTTCAAGACAATCTTTTCAAAGTGCGCATCAACCCAATTGAGGCCTATAAAATCAAAGACAGCTAAACGCCATAATGTCGTAAAATGGATTAACAATGGCGCTATCTTGTTTAGTTAGTTGGACACGCTTTAGTGTTTTCATGTTATAACAAATGCAGCTAAATCTCTAACAAATTCAGTTCAAAATTTTTATTTTTACTCAGTATTAAGTACTAATAAACGAAGTTTTATCATTTAAAATTCAGATTATTAGTAATATTCTCATTATTTATAAATCTGCTTTAAAATAAAGAATATCGTAGCTATCCGAACAGTTATTTCAGCTTCTCAAACCGGGAGTGTTGCTAACCCTGGCCCTAGCAAGAGCAGTACTTCGATGGATCGGGAGGATTCGTAATGACGTGTTTAAGGCCGATTTTTGTAGTTTACCTGAATATTTGACAGACTTGGATTTAGCTGCCTTTGATTTTATAGGCCTCAATTATGAACTATTTAGAGATTAAATTAATCTTTTTATTTATTTATTAGTTTTGTCATTGTTTTTGTAATCCTTCAAATTAATTTTGAAATCAAACTATAGCATGGGATCGTTGGTAAAATGTATATAAAAATTACGAAGCAAATACCTGGTGTATTGGAAACGGCATCGAGATTTCCATTATAAATTACCACCTTCAAGTCCGTGTTTCTAAGAAGGAATTCAACTGAAACGTAAAGGGATATTAAATAACTAGTAAAAAAATATCTTTATTAGACACCAGCTTTTGCCCGCGACTCCGTCCGCGTGGAATAGTTACCTACTTTGGCATAACGCTAAATATTACTCCCCACTTCATTTACGTAGAAAGTGAAAATATTTTTGAATTGTAGAATGTTAAGGAGCTATTTAAACCCTTATTTTGAAACATTCTTTATTGGTTCTCCACTTATATTGGCCTTACCGTAATGTTATATAGCCTATAGCCTTCCTCAATAAATGGGCTATCTAAAACTGAAAGAATTTTTAAATTCGGACGAGTAGTTTCTGAGATTAGCGTGTTCAAACAAACAAACTCTTCAGCTTTATAATATTAAGTATAGATTATTTAGAGTGTGCACCGACCGTGAGGTGTGGCTGGTGCCATAAAATTGTTTCTGAATGCATCAACGACAGCAGCTCTGTTGTAGTCAAACGAAACGTCTGACGGTATACCCAAAGCAGGAGCCACGGTCTCCTGCATGAACGAAAAGGCGTCTAAACCGAATTTCTCCTGCATGTATTGTCTTTGACCGAAATAATCTGAAATTAGAAAATATAAATATGGAACTAATCGAGTTTTAAGGGATTTTTTGGTTGCTGTAATTTTGTAATTATTGTCACTGGACCCCTAGACTAGCTACATTATCAATACTAATAATAATAGCTTAGTTAATAGCTTATTGAAAAAAGTAAATCATGAAGTACGTTCGCCTAGGAAAATAAGATAGAGTTTTAAAACACTAACGGAACAATCTTTGTGACCATTGAGTACTCGTTAAAACAAATCTAATAGGCTCAAACTGTATTAATTCACTAGTTCTGTTTCAAGGGTGTCGTTATCTGTCTCCCAAGCTCTTCACCAGTCTAATTTCATGACAGCATATCTGTGTAATCATCAAAATCATAAAAAAAACGGAAAATACAATCTCGTAATGAAACTACAGACCAATTAACAAAAAGTAGATGAGAGCTGAATTGAAAGAGATCCCCTTATGTTTATGGCTTTTTTCTCCTACCTATGCTGATAGCCTTGAGAGGCTATTTCAGCTTCACTCTAACGTTTGTAGGTGAGCTTGCGGGGTTCAACCGGAGAGTTGTTAACACTGACCCTAGCAAGAGCAGTGCTTCGCAGAATCTACCACCGGATCGGAAACGCGACCCACTGAGAAGATCCGGCGAGAAACTCAGTGGGCTGTGTCTATGGGTTAGTTCGCTCGTCGAGCCCTTCGTCGCAAGCGACGGGTTCGACGAGGACGGTGACCGGTGCTTGTGGTGCCTAAAAGCACCGTTAATGGATCAGNTAAGTTTAAAATTTGCGTGTGGTGCGGTAGTGCGGTGCACCTTCCTTGAGGTGCGCTGCGGTAGTGTGTTACGGACTTTAGAGTCAGCAAAACAATTAAAATAGATTGTAATAGTCTAAGAAAAACACGTACTCAAAATACGATAACATTCAGCATGCTAGAAATGGGCTGATGGCACTGTACTATGCCATATCTTTATGTTTTGCAGCAAACGACAACTTTATAAAATCAGTGTAGCAAATTTTAAAAATCGTCATATCATTTACTTGGAAAATTTGAAGCACGAACTCGTCTTAGATTTCACATAATATCTAAATCACATCAACTTTGCACATAACAATATACTTAATTCCTATTAAAGTATAAATTCTACAAATACATTCATACTCAACAATATTTAAAATAAAATAAGCTAAGAACGTTTATCGATAAAACCTACTAACATTAAAATCTTCTGGGCAGCACTAAAACCGCCATGTTTTGTGGCCAGATGACGTCACAGTGGCACGAATTTTCTGTTGACGTTTCGTTTCCATAGGTTTCCTACTTCAGTGGTTTGGACTTGACTATGCCTCTGGTTTTGTTGACGTCCATGACAGTACCTACCATAGATTATACACTTAATATATGTACCTACTCGTAATCAGGCGGGACGCATACTCGTGTTCCTACAAAGGCCATTAAAATGAATTTTTGAAGTAGAATTAACGAGAACAATTCTTTATAATTTATCTATGCTTTTGTTCCTATATCAGGGTGGGTATGATCTATTGTATCCATCTTTTACTTTGTCATTTTATGAACGGTTTCTTGTCCGGGGATCATGAAATTTAGGTTATAACTTTGTACCTAACTCTGAACTGGAACTGGAAATAATATAGCCATCTTCTTTTTACCATCGCACCATCTGCCATTAATAAGAGCTATCATTCGATTCTAGAAATAATTCGCTTCTTGGCATTTTCCAAGGGCTAACTTAAATTTCGTTGGTAAAAAATATGAAATTATATTGTTTCCTTCCTTTTTTGGTCCGGAGCCGAACCTTCTATGAGGTGCCCGGGCTTAGGGGGGCGCGGAGTATGTGGGTCTGGTCCGCAGATGTTGGAAGAGACCACGGTCTCAAGGGATGGCATTTAGGAACCTATTCACTAAACGACTCCTTTGCACTCTCGCCCAAGCTCGCCTGATCCCGCTCGAGGTCAGAACCCGGGTAGGATAAGGGGGTCACCTCGGTCAAAACATTATTGTTTACTATTTAACATTTTTTTAAACTATTATAACAGTTCTCACTTGAATTGTAGAATTATTATGAAAAAAAAAAACAAATTTCAGTAAAAAATCATCTTATTTATGTAGAGGTTAAAGTGTAAGTCTACGTGTGCAGTAGTTCTGAGTCACACTGCACGTAAGAGAAAAATATCGAAGAAAGTTCACAATAATCGTGTAGCAAAAAAAAAACCTACAAGCAATATGAATTTATTAATTTCATATAAAAAAATTAAATATTTTATAACTGTCCTTAATTATTTTTTTAATATCATTTGGGTTGTGTTATCCTGTCCAAAATCCGTCGCATTGCTAGTGGGGTGTCAAGTGGAACCTGAAAAAAAAGCCAATTGAAATATTTTTTGTAGATGAGTAGACAAACCATGAGTATCTGCTTTTCATGAATATTAAATGCTAACTATCTATGCTGCTTTTCGGGCAGAAATGACGTGCGCTCTCATATTCGCTCTTCAACCCGAAAACTTTTCGAACGTTTCCTGTATATTATATATTTCCCGTGATTATAATGCCAAGAAATCTTGACATAACAGTCACGGGCATTGCGTTTGGGGACTGACCATAGATAATGATTACATTTAATATTTAAGAGGACTGACAGAAATGAAAATATTTGGGTCATTTAATTGAAAGTCGCTAGTTTTTAAAGACTATTTATAAATTACCGATTGACCAGCCGCGTTCATCCAATAGAATGACAATCTCGGAGTTTCCCTGAAATAGCCTTCTACTAATCTGTTAATTACTAAAGTTCGTCGAGGAGTAGTTTTGAATTCTTCCTGACCTGGCCATTGTAAATTATCTACCCACTCTAGTTGACCTGAAATCAAAAAGTAAATAAAGACGTGTAAATTCCTTGGGCAGAACACAATAACAATGACATGATGTCGCTATAGCACTGGCACTTCATTCAATGGGGAACAGGAGAGTTGACTTTTTTCAAATTTATCAGACTTTTACAACAAAACTTTCAAGACAATCTTTTCAAAGTGCGCGTCAACCCATTTATGAACTATTTAGAGATTAAATTAATCTTTTTATTTATTTATTAGTTGTGTCATTGTTTTTGTAATCCTTCAAATTAATTTTGAAATCAAACTATAGCATGAGATCGTTGATAAAATGTATATAAAAATTACGAAGCAAATACCTGGTGTATTGGAAACGGCATCGAGATTTCCATTATAAATTACCACCTTCAAGTCCGTGTTTCTAAGAAGGAATTCAACTGAAACGTAAAGGGATATTAAATAGCTAGTAAAAAAAGAATCTTTTTTAGACGCTTTTGCCCGCGACTCCGTCCGCGTGGAATAGTTACTTTGGCATAACGCTAAATATTACTACTCCCCACTTCATTTACGTAGAAAGTGAAAATATTTTTGAATTGTAGAATGTTAAGGAGCTATTTAAACCCTTATTTTGAAACATTCTTTATTGGCTCTCCACTTGTATTGGTCTTACGGTGATGTTATATTATAGCCTATAGCCTTCTTCAATAAATGGGCTATCGAAAACTGAAAGAATTTTTAAAATCGGACGAGTAGTTTCTGAGATTAGCGTGTTCAAACAAACAAACTCTTCAGCTTTATAATATTAAGTATAGATTATTTAGAGTGTGCACCGACCGTGAGGTGTGGCTGGTGACATAAAATTGTTTCTGAATGCATCAACGACAGCAGCTCTGTTGTAGTCAAACGAAACGTCTGATGGTATACCCAAAGCAGGAGCCACGGTTTCCTGCATGAATGAAAAGGCGTCTAAACCGAATTTTTCCTGCATGTATTGTCTTTGACCGAAATAATCTGAAATTAGAAAATACAAATATTTAAATAATCTAGTTTTAAAGTATTTTTTTTGTAGCTATAATTTTGTAATTATTGTCACTGGACCCCTAGACTAGCTATATTATCAATACTAATAATAATAGCTTAGTTAATAGCTTATTGAAAAAAGTAAATAATGAAGTACGTTCGCCTAGAAAGAACATAAGTTTTAAAACACTACGGAACAATCTTTGTGACCACTAAGTCTCGTTAAAACAAATCTAATACGCTCAAGCTGGATGAATTGACTAGTTCTGTTTCAAGGGTGTCGTTATCTGTTTCTCAAGCTCATCACCAGTCTAATTTCATGACAGCATAATAATCTGTATCTGCAAAATATCTGTGTAATCATCAAAACCATAAAAAAAAAGGAAAATACAATCTCGTAATGAAACTACAGACCAATTAACAAAAAGTAGATGAGAGCTGAATTGAAAGAGATCCCCTTATCTTTATGGCAAAGATTGTACCTAGACATACCCAATTATGTATATATTTCTGGATGTTTCATGAGAACTAAATTAAAGTGTGAAAATAAATTACCTCTTGACGCTTCCCGTGTCAATTTATCGACTATATGCCCCAAGTTAACAGCGACAGCACCTGCTTTTTCATTCACGAAATCTCCAAGTGTAATAAATTTGTCAAAAGCATCTCTTAGTTGACCGCCACTAACCGAGCTGCTCACGTCTTCTGAAAGTGTCTCAATGGCCGCCCTCCCGTTAGCATCGATGTAACCAAGTTCTTCTAAATAAAATCCCAGTTTGGTCAAGGCGAGAGCAGGAGAAACAATTCCGTTACCGAGTACGACTCCTTTCAAATTGTGCTGGAACCTGCCAGGTGGATCGGTCTGAAATTTTTATAAATAAAAAAATGAATTAATCGTCCGTGACGACGTAAACTGTAAATATACCTATTCTGTGACTATATTCTGTACTCTGAACGTCTGGTTGATTGACTTTCTTACGTTTCTAGGACATTAAAAGATGGGTAATCTCTTTCGAATATTTTGTAGTTTTTTTATCACATATTTGTACCTCACGCTGGGAGCTTGAATGCCGTGACCCATCTTAGAATTTATAGTTCGAAGTCCTAATTGTACAATTATATTTTATCTATGATGCTACATTTTCGGTACAGTGTGCTTATTAGAAGTTTTTTAACTACTTGGAATAGCGCCCCTAACGTCAAACGTAGGGAAACGTACCAAGTCCATACAAATTCGAGTTAACTTTTACGCTGTCGAGAACGTTAAAAAACTCGCACTAAGCTCACGGAACGCAAAATGCCATTAGAATAGGCTACTTACTGAGGCAAGCCTCCTGGCGAGTGCCAACGCTATTTGCGCACCATGCCCTTCACCGAAAATATAGAGTGGGGTATCTGCGTAGTCTTCATGAAGACGGTAAAATGATTCCAAGGTAAACAACAGATGGTCAGCTGTAATAAACAATCCAAACATTGCAATATATCACTAATCTATTGATAATACATTTTCACAAGTGTTTTTCTCTACTTACTAGTCGCGTCAAGGTTCCCTGGAATCTGACTGTCGCTCTGGGCTGTACTAAATCCTGTACCAAGCGGTGCATCCACGAATAGTAAATTATAATTATTAATCTGAAATCGGTGTAAGAAAAATTAAATGCCATACATGCCAGTAACGATGTCTTGTCTATTTCTGTAGCTGAATAATTGCACAAGTTTATTTTGATGATAGCGTAAACGTCAAGTAAAATTCAGGTTGTACTATTTTTGTTCTGGGTCCACGGAGTGAGTCGTCTCGTCGGGGTGACTACGAAATTTGTTAAATATTTGAAACGTCGCAAAGAATCAAAAATGACAATAATAAAAGCGAGAAATCTAGTTACAATTATGAAATTGAGATTTATTCTGAGGTGGCAACAATGTTTGGGCGTCTATGAGTCCCGATAGTAACTGGTTATCACCGAGTGAGACGTAAACTTATCTGCATAAATTTGGATTTCGATGGAAGAAGTGATTAATTGAAAAAACCTTTCAATAAATTCTAGTTTTTTTTTTTTTTTATCATTTATTTATTTATTATTAACATAGAAGTAGAAACACAATCATAATTTACATCTGTGCTTGAACTAGGTGATAATACCTGTATCTCAAGCAGCAGTGCTCCTCGTACAAAGAATACAACAGCTTCAGATACATAAAAATAGAAAGTTAATAGACCAGAATTAAACTGAAATTCATGGATTGCATGAAAGTGACAATATGTGAGCTTAAAAATGTAACAATTAACAAAAAAAATATTGAAATGTAAATGAAAAATATAATAATGAAAAATATTGAAATGAAAAATATCGTGAGAATACTGAATACCCAAGAATCGCTCCGTTGGTTCAAGTTGAAGTCGTACGGACCGAACATGCCGAAGTTTGCCAGTAGACTAGGCGGTACACCAGTGACGCCATCCACCCACAATATAATAGGTTTTATGATTTTGACAGCAGGGAGAGTGGGATAGAACCACCAAAATATATCGCCGCTCCCTCTTATTCTCGTAAACGCTGCTGTGTATTCAATATCACCAATGCCTTCACCTTCGAGTTCTAGAAGTAAAGATTTACATTATGACGTCACTCCGGATAATAAGTTCGGAAGATCATAAAAAAAAACAAGAAACTTAAAGGAAGGAGAAGTTTTTTTAAGGAGAAACGGGGAATATGAAATGTTAATTTTGATTTTTCCATGGATATTTTCAGTGGCCCATTTCGTGTTCTATTCCGGCAGATATCAGGAGACAATGGAGTTATTACTAAAACCATGAATTCTACCTGTCAGTACCTGTTCGGAATACCCGTAAAATTACAATTTCATTTCTGAGGTATGGACAATAGCGTAACGTTTAAGTGTTAGTGAGTTAAAATATGTATGAATATGTAGGTATGTATTCACGTTTTATTCATCATAATATATTACTAATTGGTGGTGGGGCTTGTGAGCTTACACGGGTTGATATCACCGCCCTGACTATTCTCTTTAGCTATAATTGCATGGCTTAAAAAGGATGTGAGTTCGTTGTTGTACTACAATTGAGACAAAAAAATTTAACCCGCAAAATTATAATTTGCGTAATTACTGGTGGTAGGACCTATTGTGAGTCCGCGCGGGGGGGTACCACCACCCTGCCTATTTCTACCGTGAAGCAGTAATGCGTTTTGGTTTGAAGGGTAGGGCAGCCGTTGTAACTATACTTGAGACCTTAGAACTTATATCTCAAGGTGGGTGGCGCTTTTACGTTGTGGACGTCTATGGGCTCCAGTACACTTAACACCAGGTTGGCTGTGAGCTCGTCCACCCATCTAAGCAATAAAAAAAAAACCTACTTTTCATGTCTCAAGGTGGATAGCAGAATTCGGGTTGTAGTCTATTAGCTCCAATAACAATTTAACACAAGACGGGCCGTGAGTTTGTTCATTTATTCATCAGTTATACAGATATCCGTTTTCGAGTTATAGTAAAAGTATATAGGTACTTTTCAACGAAAACTAATATTCTAAAATTCGCTCTTCTACTGAATCAGTAAAAGACCTGAAAGACGATATGTGTACGAGGGGAGTGAGCGTGGAAATGGTATATGATTATGGATTATATGATATTATTAATATAGGAGTATGGAAACAGAAAACATGTTGCGCCGACCCCAGGTGGCTGGGAGAAGGGCATGAGAATGATGATGACCGAATCAGTAAGACTTTTCAATCAAAAAACAAAATTACCTCCGACTTGGAGATGTTTCGTTTTTGAACGATAAATAAAATTACGAAATTTAAAAGTGACTCACTGATTATGGTAAATTCCTCTGTATCAGTTACCAGCCACCATATTAGAAATCCAATCACAGCTGCTGCCACAAAACCTAATATAACTGACACTATTATTATGTTAGTCTTCCTCGACATTTTGCTATTTTTTTTAAATTATACTCGTAATTACGCACGATACGCGTGCACTTTATTTATCACGAAAATATTCGATTACAATACGTTAATTTTTATTATCAATTTGAAGAAAGATTAAATATCGACAGTGAAGTACTTTATCCTAATTTCTGTGATAACAACTCCGTCTTGTGTTATCCATGTAGGTATGTAGTTCAAAGGTACCTATAATTGAATTGTTTTTCAAGGTCAAAGTATTAAAAATTAGCGGTCAAATTAAACTGAAGACTTAAAATTTAAAAAAAACAGTAATGGACATACATCAATTTTGCTTATTTTTTGGGTGGATTTTCAATTAAAACGTATCAAAAAACGTTTCAATTGCAAAAATTAATCTATGGCAATACTCACTACAAGACGTCAGTGTACAAAAAAACATGTTTTTTTTTAATTGCCTTTGTAGAATTACAGAACCTGATTGTTTAATTGTAAACTTTTTTTATCTTTGATTTTAAGAAGTTTGAAAGTTCAGCTATGAATCTTGTCTAGTTGTAATATTGATAGTTTTCATAATGCAAAGTAGATAAGCATAGATAGTACTTTACCTAAATCTCGGTTTTTGTAACAGAATAAAATAAAATACACAGATAATATGTATATGTTTTTAATACTGTACTGTTTGAAGTCGTAGTGTCTTAAGGATAAGATGTCCAGTGCAATCGTGTTGAGCGATACACCGGTGTTCGAATCTCAGGCGGGTACCAATTTTTCTAATGAAATACGTACTCAACAAATGCTCACGATTGACTTCCACAGTAAAGGAATAACACCGTGTAATAAAATCAAACCCGCAAAATTATAATTTGCGTAATTACTGCTGGTATTACGCAAATTATAGAGGCCTCTTGAGAGTCCGCNGTCCAGTGCAATCGTGTTGAGCGATACACCGGTGTTCGAATCTCAGGCGGGTACCAATTTTTCTAATGAAATACGTACTCAACAAATGCTCACGATTGACTTCCACAGTAAAGGAATAACACCGTGTAATAAAATCAAACCCGCAAAATTATAATTTGCGTAATTACTGCTGGTATTACGCAAATTATAGAGGCCTCTTGAGAGTCCGCGCGGGTAGGTACCACCACCCTGCCTATTTCTGCCGTGAAGCAGTAATGCCTTTCGGTTTGAAGGGTGGGGCAATCGTTGTAACTTACTATACTTGAGAGCTTAGAACTTATATCTCAAGGTGGGTGGCGCATTTACGTTGTAGATGTCTATGGGCTCCATTAACCACTTAACACTGTGAGCTCGTCCACCCATCTAAGCAATAAATAAAAAAAATGTTTCATATTTTCAATAACAAAAAGAAGCATTAATGTATAAAATAATCATTCCTTTAATTAACAAATTTTTCAGTTACATTTGTCTTATTATTATTTAGAATGCGCATTAGCGATATGAAATGTAGTTTTAACCAAACGAAGTCATATCGCGTAGAAAAGCGTTGGTTCCTTCTGGGTTGTCCCTTGGTACCTGTGAAATCAGAGAAAATTGGTTGATTTTGAAAGCCTTAAATATTTGATTAATCTAATTAAAACACTAAAGTAAGAATACTCCAAAATGTATTTTCATTAAAATTTGATTTAATTTTGAACTTACGCTATGTCCTGCCACATTGATCCAGAAGAATCTAAAATTCTCGAAGGCTTTATAATAGCCTTCTAGTTTATTGTTTTCCCAAATAGGTAGACGAGGAGCATTTTTGTAAGCTTCCGATCCAGGCCACCGAAGCCTGTCTACCCATAAAATTTGACCTAGAAAAGTTATCAGAAAAACATAAGTTTGTACAATACAAAAATCTTACTACTTTAAAATATTTTGATTTTTCATAGTCTATCAATTTAAAACGTACCAGGTGTATCACAAATCAAATCTAGATTTCCGTTATATTTGGTCAAAATAATGTCTGTTTCATTCAGAATTTTCTCGACTGTAATAAAAAAACGTTCATTTTATTATTAATCAAACACTAATCCTGAGTTCGATAGTACTTTAAAAATTTATTTTACTTGTGGTAGGACCTCTTGTGAGTCCGCACGGGTAGGTACCACCACCCTGCCTATTTCTGCCGTGAAGCAGTAATGCGTTTCGGTTTGAAGGGCGAGGCAGCCGTTGTAGCTATACTGAGACCTTAGAACTCATGTCTCAAGGTGGGTGGCGCATTTACGTTGTAGATGTATATGGGCTCCAGTAACCACTTAACACCAGGTGGGCTGTGAGCTCGTCCACACATCTAGGCAATAAAAAAATAATAATTACCGAGCGCTTGGATTGCCAAGAATGTCAAGACTATTTTACTTTCAACGGGTGTGCGCACTTGCCTACGACGACGATAAAAAAGCACGTGCACAGACACATTTATCGTTGCTTACTGACTAAGTTATGGTCTATGAGCTCTTCCACCCATCTAAGCAATAAAAAAAGTGTGTGTGTCCGCTCCGACGCACGACTGGAGTTTACTGGANGGCGAGGCAGCCGTTGTAGCTATACTGAGACCTTAGAACTCATGTCTCAAGGTGGGTGGCGCATTTACGTTGTAGATGTATATGGGCTCCAGTAACCACTTAACACCAGGTGGGCTGTGAGCTCGTCCACACATCTAGGCAATAAAAAAATAATAATTACCGAGCGCTTGGATTGCCAAGAATGTCAAGACTATTTTACCTTCAACGGGTGTGCGCACTTGCCTACGACGACGATAAAAAAGCACGTGCACAGACACATTTATCGTTGCTTACTGACTAAGTTATGGTCTATGAGCTCTTCCACCCATCTAAGCAATAAAAAAAAACTTACTTCCTTCTGTGACTGGTTTCATGAAATCTTCCCTCAGCATATTAAAAACATTACCAGACTGTGAGCCCCATGTCACATGGTTTGGAATGTTCAGAGCTTCCTTGACCTGAGTGTTCATTAAAGTGTTCAGATTTAATTCATCCTGTCTCACAGGAGACATGTATGGTCGATCGCGGATCAACATATCCCGCGATAGTTCTAAAAGTCCAGAAAATGTAATTAGTAGTAGGTGCAATGCAAGGCGTAGTCAAGCCACGAACTACCGCAAAGGAGAACAATTTCTCAGAGTATTCCTCTGTAGATAGACATTCGAGATGATATCAGAATACAAATAGGAAAATTAATTTAGTTTTTTTACCAATAGGTGATCTAGTGTCTGGGACAGAAGCGGAAACTTCCATTTTAGTGAGAATGTTGTAGAAATCCACTCTTGTAGTTCTTCTGAATACGACCTGCTGTGTGTTTGCCCACTGAGTCGTGGACTGAAGATACTGTCCTTCATTGAATAATCGCTCGGATTCCCTAGCGGCAGCTTGAATATCCTCATATCCTTCTTGGTCTACTAAGCCAGCAGCTAACAGTAGTGGACCCCAAGTGAGAGTAGAATCTACTGGAGATATCCAAGCGTTACCCATCGCTATTCCTTTTAAGTTTGAGCGTATTGTACCTGCTTTTTCCGCCTAATCCGGAAAAAAGGAAGAAGGAGGTCAGATGTCTGAAAAGTTCTTTAATTGTGAAATTAGCCACGTTCTTGTTTTACCTCATGCATGCGGAGACCCATATCAATGGCCATTTTACCACCGTACGACTGACCGTAAATGTAGAGAGGAACATCGTTGAACTCAGGACGTCTATTGTAGAATCCACGCATTAGCTCAACGAAATCTAAAGCTGAAAATTATATTAATTTTATCAAAACTACTTCTCCTTTGTTATCCAGTGATTGGATTGGAGGATCCAAGATTGGATCAGTGGTCGACGCTGTCACGTATTTAGTGATAAGTCTTAGTATCAAATGCGATTCCTCTATTTCAGCTGTCCATTTTACAGAGGTGGAAATATCTTTGTAGCTTTGACCTGGTTGGTCCCACTTACGGGAAATCTGCCGCATGGTGCCCTTTACTTCCAACCATTTGATCAAAATTCGAATTTTTTCTCTCAAAATTAAGTTAGGTTAGCTTTCTTAACTCGGTCGGCGGTGTATCGCGTTCTGACCCGGCAGGCGTTCGACTATCGCCTCGATGACCCGTCGGTCGGGCGTCCTCGGGGTGGTGCCGCGTGTCTGGTTGTAGTGTTGACCGCGGGAACCCCCCTACTCTGACCGGGTTTTGACCTCGGACGGAGATCGGACGTTGGGTGTAAGAGTGCAGGGGAGTCGTTTAGTGTTTTTTTTATTTTTTATTGCTTAGATGAGTGGACGAGCTCACAGCCCACCTGGTGTTAAGTGGTAACTGGAGCCCATAGACATCTACAACGTAAATGCGCCACGCACCTTAAGATATAAGTTCTAAGGTCTCAGTATAGTTACAACGGCTGCCCCACCCTTCAAACCGAAACGAAATTTCATTAGAAAAATTGGTACCCGCCTGCGGGATTCGAACACCGGTGCATCTCTACATACGAATGCACCGGATGTCTTATCCTCTAGGCCACGACAACTTCAAAATTCCCTGTGGGCCCTAAAATTCCTTGGGCCCGCGGTCTGCTCACAACACCTTGCAGACCGTTGAGTCCCACATACCCCGCGCGCCCCCTAGGCGTGGGGACCTCGGAGGAGGTTCGGCCCCGGCCCGAAAAAAAAAAGAAAGGTTAGCTTTCTTACCGATTTCATCATTCGTCCTAGTTAATTGCATCACATTGTCAACATAACTAAAGCCAGTGCCTACCGGATTATCAACGAACAGAACATTGAAATTCTTCACCTGCACATAAAAAAATATTAATTTAATATATTAATAGTATATTGCAAAGATTTGAAAAATAAGCAGACCTAATAATTCATTCTTGTCTAGTTTAATTCTTACCCAACTGTGATTTCTCTCTTGTAAAGACAAATCGAGTGGACCTAAAATTTCGAAGTTTCCAATTCCTGTGGAGGAGCCCCCAGGGCCTCCTTGTAACCAAACGATGAGTGGACGTTCAGTATATTTCTCTACTGGAGCTGTTGTGTAGAATAACCACCAAAACATGTGAGCTCCTTCTCTTACCGTCACATAGCCGAAGTCTTGTTCAAACGGACCGAATTGACCTGCACGTCAAAAGCTGATTTAAGATAAATCTACAGATTGATACATATATAACCTACAGACTGATACATTAATTTCTCTAGTTGTAATAGACCATGAGGTTAGATGACGTATTGGAAGACATCTTAACCAGAAAGTATTTCTCTGTCATACGTTGATACTAATTTTACTATACTCGCCTAATAGTCTACAAACTTAATCTTCTCCCTGACCCTAGTCATCGTTTGCCAACCCTAAGTCTATCACTCCCTAGCAGGGTTGATAGCAAACTGCCGGATGACTAAAATTATGTTGTGCCGACCTTACTCGGCGAAGAAACGGGAACGAGGGAATTGTTGTCCTGCCTTATTTTAATTTACCTTGCGTCTTTTAGCACAAAGAGTAGGAAAGCTATTATTCGCTATATTAAATCAGGCGTCTGTTATGGTATGTATCATGGGTTTCGTAAACCATACAATACCAGTTAAGTAGACTGGCTAGGAGTAGCACCGCTTAATTACGCTACTTAAAAACAAGGTTAATTTACATATTATTTATAACACTTAAAGAAATATCTTTTTTACTTTTGAACAGTCTTGTCAAACTATTAGAGATCTAATTTTGGGGTTCATGTATTTCAAATCCAAAGTTATGAATACTTAAATACGTATTGTTACGAATGCTGAGTAATTCTGTGGTTTCGAAATTAGATTGAAAAACATCTTTTTAGACCAATCACGTGTAACTATTAAAATGTTTTAAAAATAAAGCCAAACTGATTCGTAATTTGTCTCACCTGACACACTTTTACTGAACAATACCGCTAAAAAGAAATAGAGAAGCGACATTTTTTTATGAATACTCGTCATACAGCGCAGAATAACGTACTGAAAGTAATTATCTAAAGATTATTCGTTATCATCGAATTATTATCGTTAATTTTGTAAATGATTATTATTTTCATAAGACGATTGCCCTACTAGAATATGCTTAAAAGGTGGAAGTGTAATGTATAATGGTTAAATGTGTGTATCAAATATATAGTATATTCAGTAATAATAAACATAATGTGAGTCGTCTATTATCAAAGGTGGCAATCTGTGCATTTGAACAAAAAAATGTTATTGATATGTCAATACAGATTGATTTGAATATAATCGTCTCCTTCAAAGAATACGGTTCAAAACCTGCATTAAATAAAGTATTAACTTAACCTGTTATTTATCTAAGATGTCGTTCAGAAGAGTTTTGTGACTGCCAATGGAATACAAAGTCAATAATTCGTTTTTCTGATTTACCAATAATTGTCCAAAAGTCACATTGCCGGCTTTGATAATAGTCGACTCATATGGTTAAAAGATGGAAGTGTAACGTAATGGTTAAATGTGTGTATCAAATATATATATTCAGTAGTAATAAACATAATGTAGTCGTCCATAACTTGCAGGCAGCGGTATGCAGCGACTTGGCTCTGCCCCTGGCATTGCTAAAGTCCATGGGCGACGGTAANTATAATCGTCTCCTTCAAAGAATACGGTTCAAAACCTGCATTAAATAAAGTATTAACTTAACCTGTTATTTATCTAAGATGTCGTTCAGAAGAGTTTTGTGACTGCCAATGGAATACAAAGTCAATAATTCGTTTTTCTGATTTACCAATAATTGTCCAAAAGTCACATTGCCGGCTTTGATAATAGTCGACTCATATGCTTAAAAGATGGAAGTGTAATGTAATGGTTAAATGTGTGTATCAAATATATATATTCAGTAGTAATAAACATAATGTAGTCGTCCATAACTTGCGGCATTTGCGGTAGACAGCAACTTGGCTCTGCCCCTGGCATTGCTAAAGTCCATGGGCGACCGTAACCACTCACCACCAGGTGAGCGCCCTATGCTCGTTTGCCTATAAGGGCAATAAAAAAAAAACGTAATTGTTATTTATTATTTCTTACTTTTACTACATATTTCATTTAGATCAACTTCATTTCGACCCGCTCCATTTTATACGTATGCATTTAATTAATAATTGAAGGTTTTTATAGAGTCGATACCGGTAGAAATGACATCGAAGCCGTTGCCATGCTGAAAAAATAATAAAAAACTCCAGTCGTGCGTCGAAACTGCAAATTTATTTCATTTGCTTAATATGTTTATTATGATTTTATGAATACGTTCAACAAATAAACGGTGATCTTGGAATATCGATACTGTATAGTTACTGTGTCCTTATAAATTTGCGATAGTCAATTTAAGAAGCAACCAGCAAAAGGTTTCCTTAAATATAAATTAGTACAATTAAACTTTACCATGACCTACATGATAATACTAAACCGAAGTTTACCTGCAAAATATCGTTAATAGTATCAGCACATAGATCATTTACACACGTGATTTTTATATTTGTGACATTGAAATAGACATACGTCATTGAAATAATGCACCCAGCACAGAGTGATTAGTTATTGATACAACTAGGGTTCGTGCTATGATTGCGCTCGGTAGATCGATACTCTATATCGATTTTTTAATCAATGTTCCTTGATCTGAGTACTCGGGTATTACTGTCCTTGTTGTCTTTCTTTTGTTTTTAATTTATTATTATTATTAATAGTATTTTTAAATATCTATTGATATATTAATGTAATGCATGCTGTGATTGCCTCTAATTAGAGTTGCAGTTATCAATTGCTCTATACATGTCAATGTTATTTTATGTCTTACTGTAAACCCTGTCGGTAATCCTTAAATAAATAAATAAAGAAATGTGAATAATAACCTGTTTTTTGAATTAGCTTTCAATTTCAATGAAATTCATAATTTTAATAATTACTAATCATAATAATTACCAAGCGCTGGATTGCAAAGAATGTCGAGACTATTTACGGGTTACTTGCCTACGATGACGATAAAAAATCACGTGCACAGACACGTTTATCGTTGCTTACTGACTTTTTGGTTTTGGTGGACATTGCTAATGTTTTGTTTTAAAATGAATTTTAATGATTTCAGCAATAAGTTTTAGTGAATTTTGCTTTTGCCATTATTTGATCCAGTCAGTTATGTGTCCACGAATGAAGTTTGTTTTCAATGAAACAAACGATCTTAGAAATCAGCTGACACAAAAAAGAAGAACATACATAAAACGTGGCTTTTTAAATTTTTACATTGTCATTCAAATATTTTAAGCGAAGCCGTCGTTCACTTTTTAACACTTAAAAAGTATAATAATTGAATTAAAATTTATGGGTAAATATCTAATTAAATAAAATAAAATATTTAAATATATGTCGTGGATAACGACTTTTAGTTGTCGTGGATAACGACTTTTAGTAAAAGACGGTGGTTTTGATTATTATTTTAAATGATGAGATGTTGTTTTGATAAATATCACAAAATGAAGGGTAGACTACGTAACGCCACAGTATAAAATGGCGGTACGTGGACAGAGTCGTGGCATTCCGTGTCAGACAGTCATTCCGTCCGTCTNAAAATGAAGGGTAGACTACGTAACGCCACAGTATAAAATGGCGGTACGTGGACAGAGTCGTGGCATTCCGTGTCAGACAGTCATTCCGTCCGTCTCAGTCAGTCGGTCTGTCGGTATGTGCAACGAAACTGTCGGTTTACCCTGTCATTGTGAAAGTTGTGTGTGTTGAGTTTCAATAATTGTTATTCAAAAAGTTTTATTCTAAACTGAGTTCAATCGAATACGAGCGATGACGAAACTACCGCTCAGCCATACCTGGCGTGCTCCGACATATAAATTAATAAGAAAATATTTTCGAACCGTTAACTGGGCCATTAGAGCTATGGAAGGTAGAGGTAAGGAGCACCATATTGGTCGCGAGTAAACTCCAGAGCGTAGCCGTAGCCCCCGGAGAGTGGTTCCGGAAATGGCGCCTCGATATTAACCTAGCGATAAGCATAGCGGTGTTCTTTTAAAGGCGGAACTCAACCCATATCTCCTCCCCCATTAGGCGCAGAAATCTAACACCCCCGATTACCCTCTTAAGCCAATCCATGTCTTGGGACAGGAAGGTTATGTAACTGGGAGTTATCCTGGATGCATCCATGACAATCCGTCCACACATAAAGTTTGTCCGCGACCGTACTGCGTTTATCCTCGGCAGGTTTACCCCTTAATTTGTAAGCGGAGTAAAATGTCCCTTCACAAAACTTGCGTAAGGCGCGTCATGACATTTGCGAGCGCGGTGTTCACGCACGCGGCCCACACGCACATAGACACCCTTGAAACCCTCCAATCACGTTTTTGCAGGTTAGCGGTCGGAGCACCGTGGTTCGTCAGGAACGTCAACCTACACGACGATCTGGGCCTTGAATCGACTGACTCCGTTTCGTGCAGTAATCGCCCTAGATATGTCCTTACGGATCTTTCCGGTCCACTAACACTATTATTAGACGCCTACAGCTCTAGCACTAGAAGCAGACTTCAGGACCTCGGTAACCGTACTCGTCGAATTCGGCAAAGAGTTCGACATGCAACCTAATCCATACATCAGCTCACCGAGTTTCTTGCCTGATCTTCTCAGCGGGTCGCAATTCCAACCCGGTAGTAGATTCATTCGTCAAGCAGCTACTCTTGAGTTGTTACGTCTCCTTTGGAGGCGCTCGAGTAGCTGTTAACAAATCCCACCCCTCCTGGCTAAGCCTTTGTTCGCCTGCCTGTTCTGGTGAAACTAGAAAGGCCTCCAACCCACCAGTAACCTTTTTATAATAAAAAAATATTGGAGTCACCGTACACTGTTTTTTTTAATTTCTTTTTTATTGCTTATGGAGTTGCTATTTTATACTGGATATCTGAAAAGTAATTTATGTGTGGTTGGTAACAAATTATAAATTCCAATTTTGTTCTAAAAATATGAAATTATACCATATTTTCAAATTCATTTATTTATTCATTCGTCTTTTGTTTTCTCTACATTTGTATCTTTTTCATCAATATTGACACGATAAATACACAAATAATTATGGAGTACGAGTTCCGTCGCTGTAGTAATGGCGCATAA